GGAAGCGCAGGCCCCTCAGAAAGTAAAGGAAGTACCTAAGCAAACATTAGTTGTGGGAGATTCCCAGATAAGGTATTTGGATAGAACGTTTTGTGCTAGAGATAGGGGGAACAGGTTAAGGGTTTGCTATCCCGGAGCTGGCATTGGTGATATTATAAACAACATGAATGATATTATGGCTGGTAATGGGAACAATCCCATTATTTGCATTAGCGTGGGAGGAAATGATGTTGGTCGAGTCAGGAGTGAGGAACTGATTCAGAGGTATAAAACAGCCATAGAGTTAGTTAGGAGCAAGGGAGGAATCCCGATCATATGTGGCATTCTTCCAAGAAAGGGAGTGGGAAATGAATGGATATCGAGGGCACTTGGTGTCAATTGCCGGCTGGAAAGATATTGCAAATCAAATGCAATATCTTTCATAGACAACTGGGAACACTTCTATGGAAGAAATGAAATGTATGCTCGTGATGGGGTGCATCTATCGAGAGCTGGGGTTGTTGCTGTTGCGAACTCGCTAGAAGAAGTGGTTAGAGGTGTTTGTTTGGGTTTAAACTGTTAGTAGATAGAGGTATGGGAATTGATTTGGAGGAAGGAGGTAATAAAAGTATGTGTTTGTGGGAGAAAGGAATTGGCAAAACGATCAGGGAAAGAGAAGGTCCGCAAAATAACAATTCACTTAGGGTATATTACACTAACAGTAGAAGTCTAAGAAATAAAATTAACGAATTAAATGCTCTTGTCTGCACAGAAAAAATAGATATTATTGCACTTACCGAAACGTGGATGAATGTAGAAAATAGAGAACTATTAGCTGAATATCAAATATATGGATTTAAACTATTTCACACAGATAGATATATTAGACGAGGAGGTGGAGTAGCCATATATGTTAGGGACAATTTGAAATGTAGTCTCAAAGAGGGAATCAAAACAGAGCCACACACAGAAACTATTTGGATTGAATTAAACGAAAAAGCTAATAATATTATAATAGGAGTAATATATAGGCCACCAAATTTAGACAGAATGGAAGCAAAGCATCTATGGGATGAAATATCTAGAGCATCTAGATCTAACAGTATTTATGTCATGGGTGACTTTAATTTTAGCGGAATAAACTGGTTGAACAAAACAGGGAATAGTGAAGCAGAAGATTTTCTAGAATTAATTGACGATTGCTTTCTTACGCAACACATTAAGGAACCAACACGGGAAAATAATATTTTAGATTTAGTGTTAACTAACAGGGAAACGCAAATTAATGACATCGAAATAGGGAGTGAGCTAGGGAGCAGTGATCACAAAGAAATCAGATTTAGCATAGAATGGAATAGACCAGTAGGAGAAAATTCTGTTAAAGTGCCAGATTTTCGAAAAGCTGATTTTAATAGCCTAAGAAATTTTTTGGGTCAAATTGATTGGAAAGGCTTGGGTATGGGGTGTGGGCCGGTCTTGGAGCGAGACATGAACCCAGCGATAGGTGACTTAAATGGGGATTTCGATGTGGATTCAATATATAACTTATTTAAGAATATTCTAAACAAAGCACAGGAACGTAGTATACCATACAAATTGAATAGATCGTATACTAATGACCCAAAGTGGATAACAAAGAATTTGAAGAACCTTATAGGTAAAAAGAGAGCTTGGTACAAAAGGATTAAAAATGGGGAGGTCACTTTAGAACAGGAATTCGTACAACTGGTTAGAAATGTTAAAAAAGAGATAAGGAAAGCAAAAAGAAACTATGAAGTTCGCATAGCAGGGCAAGCAAAGACAAATCCTAAAGGGTTTTTTCAGTTATATCGTACTAAGACTAGGGAAAGGATAGGTCCATTAAAAACTGAGACAGGTCAAATAACAGATAGTGATGAAGAGATGAGTAGTATTTTTAATAAATATTTTGTATCTGTATTTACTAAAGAGGAACTTAACAATATGCCTTCAGCCGAACAAGTCTATGTGGGTGGGGACGAGGACAGGTTGACGAGTTTAGCAGTTACCAGGGAGGATGTTCTTAAACAAATAGTAAAACTCAAACCAAACAAATCCCCAGGGCCGGATGAAGTGTTTGCTAGGGTGCTTAAAGAATGCAAAGAGGAGCTTTGTGACCCACTGTCAACCATATTTAATAAATCAATAGAGTCAGGCAGAGTGCCAGAGTTTTGGAAAGTTGCTAATGTGATACCAGTTTTTAAGAAAGGAGATAGATCACTTGCGTCTAACTATCGACCAATTAGCCTAACGTCTATTGTGGGAAAGTTACTCGAATCTATAATAGCAAATAAAATTCGTCTTCATCTTGAAAAACATAAATTAATAATTGAGTCGCAACATGGTTTTATAAATGGCCGTTCATGTTTAACAAATTTGTTATCTTTTTATTCTAGCATTGTTGAGGCAGTTGATAGTGGTAAGGATTGCGATGTTGTATACCTTGACTTTAGCAAAGCTTTTGATACAGTGCCACATGAAAGACTGATTAAAAAAATAGAGTCTCATGGTATTGGGGGTGCTATATTAAGCTGGATTAGGGCATGGCTATACCAAAGGAAACAGAGAGTTAGTATAAATGGAATCAAGTCAGAGTGGGAAAATGTTGTAAGTGGAGTGCCTCAAGGCTCTGTCCTGGGACCTCTGTTGTTTATAATATATATAAATGATTTAGATTCAGGTTTGAGTAGCAACATTTGCAAATTTGCCGATGATACGAAAATCGGTAGGGAAATTAATTCGGAGGAGGACTCACTATCACTTCAAGTTGATCTAGATAGGGTTTTGAAATGGTCAAAGGATTGGCAGATGCAGTTTAATGCTGATAAATGTAAAGTTCTGAGGTTAGGTAATGATGATAGAGTTACAAGATACGAGCTAGATGGTGTTGTGATTGCGAAGTCGGATTGCGAAAGGGATCTGGGAGTTATGATTAGTAAGAATTTAAAACAAAAGGATCAATGCATAAATGTTCGTAATAAGGCAAATCGGACACTTGGATTTATTAATCGCAGCGTTAGTAACAAGACACCTGGTGTGGTTCTCAAGCTATATCTTGCTCTAGTTAGGCCCCATTTAGATTATGCAGTTCAGTTTTGGTCGCCATATTATAGAATGGATATAAATTCACTTGAATGTGTCCAGCGTAGGATGACTAAGTTAATTCCCCAAATTAGAAATCTTTCATATGAAGAAAGATTAACAAAGCTTAAGTTGCATTCACTGGAAAGGCGAAGAGTTAGGGGTGACATGATAGAGGTTTACAAGTGGATGAATGGACATAACCGGGGGGATATTAATAGGGTATTAAAAGTATCAACACAGGACAGAACACGAAACAATGGATATAAATTGGATAAGTTTAGATTTAGGAAAGACTTGGGTAAATACTGGTTCAGTAACAGGGTTGTTGATTTGTGGAACCAATTGCCGCGTAACATTGTGGAGGTGGGGTCCCTCGATTGTTTCAAGCACGGATTGGACAAGTATATGAGTGGGATTGGGTGGTTATAGAATAGGAGCTGCCTCGTATGGGCCAATAGGCCTTCTGCAGTTACCTTTGTTCTTATGTTCTTATGTTCTTATGTTCTCTGCCTGACTCTATTGATTTATTAAATATGGTTGACAGTGGGTCACAAAGCTCCTCTTTGCATTCTTTAAGCACCCTGGCAAACACTTCATCCGGCCCTGGGGATTTGTTTGGTTTGAGTTTTACTATTTGTTTAAGAACATCCTCCCTGGTAACTGCTAAACTCGTCAACCTGTCCTCGTCCCCACCCACATAGACTTGTTCGGCTGAAGGCATATTGTTAAGTTCCTCTTTAGTAAATACAGATAGGAAGATAGGCATAGGAAGTTGTTCCAGTGCAAGGCTAGCTTTTTTGTCCTGTGGGGTAGATCTTATATCTTATAAGGCCACCAGCACATACAGCGTTTCGGGCAGGTCCTTAATCTTAATTTCCCCTGACCTACGGCCCGCCAAATGATTGATACCAACCAGATACTCATTCACTGCTGGGTGAACAGAGGCTACAATTAAGGGTGTAATCTTCCATGGTGCAGGAAAGTGCCCTTGTTCTCTCTCTTGGTACAAATTATAAATCAGATACATTCTGAGTTCAGTTCCAGTTATCCATTTGGAACAATGATAACCTTCAATAAAGAAATTTCGGAGGGCTTCCGTGCAAGGGTTAGGATTGGCGGCTATGTGGACCAGACCACACACTAGAAGGTGAAGGGACGATAACGTTTCGGTCCGTCCTGGACCATTCTCAAGTCGACTGAGAATGATTGACAATCGACTTAAGAATGGTCCAGGACGGACCGAAACGTCGTCGTCCCTTCACCTTCTAGTGTGTGGTCTGGTCCACATTCTTCAGCCACGTTATTGTGACTCATCGCCTGCATTAGTGGCTAGTCGATCCTCTCCAACCAGGATACGAACCCAGGCCAAAATCACTTGCGAAGCGCGGGGGAGTGTCTTACCACTGCGCCACGGGGACTGCTTAAGGGATGGGGTGTACTTTCTGTATATTGAATTTGAAAAACGCGGTCTTGCACGTAGATATACGTGTCTCAAATTCTTTCGTCCTTCTAAGGGCATACGTTTTGTAATACATTACACTTCGCAGTTTACTCTTCTTTGTTAGAATTTCCCCTCTTATAGCCTCGAGGTTGAATAATATATTGAATCAATCGATCTCTGCCTTTGTCGTACCAGTCTAGCCTGAAAACCCTCTTCATGCATTGTTCAGCATGTGTATGGCTATGATATCCTGTTTCGTGCAGCATGTGTTGGAGTGAGGGAGAAGGGAAGGATGCCGCCTGATGACTTTCCCAGACCACCACCACCATAACCCTAACATCTGCCTCATCTCCCTCTCCTCTCTTTAAGCACAATGCCACTACCTCTTATCTGAGTGGCCACAATACAAACCAGAAATAAAGTACATATAATTCACAACTCTCGTGTGAGGAAGGACATACAGGTGTGGCAGAGAAGGGTGGGTAGTGAGGGTGAACAATTAATGTGTATTGAACAGGAGGAGAGCGCTGCCTGGGCAGTCACCCGCCAGCCTCCGGCCCGTTAACACCTTCACTTCGCGCTATGCTAACTTCACCAACTTGAACCGTGTGAATCACAGTCTTCATATAACTTGTTCCATTATATTTCGTCCATTATACAATTGTAAAATAGTTTTTGAAAGCTGAGAGATGTGTTAATTTCCACTCACTTTTTCCAACCCGTATTTTATATTATATATATAATTACTTCTTGAAAATTTATACATGTTTCCTTGTTATAATTACCTGTTCAAACCATACCAAGATTTGTTTTAGTGTTTTTTCTTTTAATGTGTTAAACGTAAATCGGCAAGACAATAATTAGTACCGTAGTTACATTGAGTGATTATTAACATGTTGAGTATTGCCTGTGTTGTGCCGGAAGCTTACAATAAAACTGTACTTGTAACTCGCGAGTGCCCAGTACCGCTGCACTTGTACCTCGCCGGTGCCTTGTACTAATGAATTTGTATCTCGCGGTTGTCTGGTACTGCTACACTTGTACCTGGCAGGTACCCGGTACTGCTACACTTGTACCTCGCAGGTTGTTGTTGTTAAAGATTCGCTACCTGGAACAAAAAGTTCAAAGTAACACGGGCTATGGTGAGCCCGCAGACCTCGCAGGTACCCAGTACTGCTGCACTTGTACCTCACGAGTGCCCGGTACTGCTACTGCATGTGTACCTCAATTTGCACATGTACCTCGCGGTTAAGCATCGACTAATGAGGTTGATTGAATCTATATTCCAGATTTAAACTTCACTAGTTTAAACTTAGCCGCGATGGACACTTGCATATAGATTGAAATTGAAATAAGTTTATTGAGGTAAAATACACACAAAGGGATGAGGTAGCTCAAGCTATTCTCACCCCGTTTGCATATAGATTTGTCTGTCCGAGTTTGTGCCTTTTTGTTCAGGGGTGCCTGACAGCTGAGTGGACAGTACTTCGGATTCGTAGTCCTGAGGTTCCGGGTTCGATCCCCGGTGGTGGCGGAAACAAATGGGCAAAAATGTTTCTTTCACCTTGATGCCTCTGTTACCTGGCAGTAAATAGGTACCTGAGAGTTAGACAGGCTGCTACGGGCTGCTTCCTGGAGGGATGTGTAACAAAAAGGAGGCCTGGTCGAGGACCAGGCCGCGGGGATGCTAAGCCCCGAAATCATCTCAAGATAACCTCAAGATACTGTACTTCATTAGTGCTGTGATTGTAGCCTACCTTATTGATATTGTTATTGTGGTCTACCTCACAAATTCTGTCATTATATATTACACATCCTAATGCTGTACATGTAAATTACCTTGCTGGTAGTGTGCTTGTAGCCCATCTTCTTAGATTTAGTACAGTACTTGTCAACTACCAAGATACTCACAGTATATGCCAAAATTTAGTTGTACTAGGTAACACTTTAGCTTATCAGTAAAGTAGTAAATGACAGTGGTGACCAACAGAGGGTGCGTGGTGTGAGGTAGCAGTATGAGGACGTGGACAACACTGACAACATGGGCAGTAGCAGCAGCAGTACTGGTTGCAGCAGTGAATCCAACACAGGCTCAGGCCAGAGAGCGCCGCCCCCTCTACAGGCCCCGTAAGGTAGCTATAGCATCTATTGTGTTCATCTATATTTGCATATTGTTGATCAATATTAAAGCCATCTCCAAATTTAAAAGATATTGTTCACACAAACTATAATTAGCAAACAATGGGTATGAAAGGAAGTTTGGAATAACAACCTCTACAAATTGTCAACCAACAATCAAACAGATTATTTAATTACATATTACAGCACTTGTTAAAACTGTACTGTATTGTTTGGTATACCTTAAAATTTTACATCCACCTCAAACCTCCCTTACATGTGTTGTGCCTCATTACAGTACTTGCCATAAAAAACAAACACATCAGACATTTTATTAACAAACCCTTACATAATTATGTTAAAAAGTATAAATATTCACACTAAACTTTTAGACATCATAACCTTTACTTAGGCAGTTAAGCATTACAGACTGTAACAATAAGGAAAAAAAAATCACAATTATCTTGACTTGCAAGTTTTGTATTTAAACTACTAGGAGGGATACCCTGCAGTGCCCGGGTGCCCTCCTCCTCCCATTGTCATCCACACCCTCCTCATCTCCTCATCCTCCACAATCCCCCATCCTGCAAGTTTCCCTTATCCTCCCTCCCTCACCCCACTCATGACCTTCCCTTGTCCTCCCTTCTGCCCTCCCCCTCATATCCCCCTACCCCTGCTTAGCCCCCTCTTCTTTTTCATAAAATACCGTATAATATTAGGGAGTAAAGAAAATACTGCACGGAGGGAAGTAATTTTTTCTGAAAACAAAAAAGTCTTTGGACATTTCAACCAATATTTCGCACAACCAGAATTGAATCCGAGAATCGGAAGGGGGATGTGAATAATTATTAATATTTCTTAAATCATATAACTTAGGCCTACACTGACCAGCCTATGTCCATCATTTATCCTAGAGCATTTCCCCTACAAATTTGGGTAAGGCTACCCCTAAGCGTTTGGCCTCCAACTTTGGACAGACAGACGCTCTCTCTCTCTCTCTTATAGGTAGATTACTCAAGCATAGACGTGTACCGAGCACGAGGATTTCATCAGGAAGGCAGTTCACTAGATATGATATTGAGCCTGAAGAGGCCAACTCAAATGACCTTGACATTACTGCTGCATCAACACCCACACCCAATTTGCCCAATTACTGCTTCAGGCTCATATCAACTTATGCCACGCAACATGTGCATGTGTTTGTATTGTTTTTCTTTTACTTGTCATCTTGCCTACTAGAAATTGTAAGGACTGAGCTCCAGCTCCGGCCTTTTAGTCCTGAGTTGATGTAATAACTCATGCCTTTGTGAGTTATTAACACCTGATCAAATGAGAGATTATTATTATATATTCTGTATTGTATGTCAGACAGCAATGTCTCTTGATGTAATGTTGACAGGTAATGTTTTTCTGACATACCAAATATTTTGTATCAATCTATAAAACAGAATGCCTGTCTGCTCATCCAAAGTAGCATACCAGACATTTGGGACTAGCCTCACTCAACTTTTCAGGGTGACAAATGGGGGGTATGTGAGTATCATAAGCCAGTCAGTTTTGGCTCCAGTGCCACCCTATAAGCATTAAACGCATCTCTAGCAACCCCCCCCCCCTCCCCTGCGAATATCATGAAGCCTTAAACCAGGATGTCTTCTATTGAGTTTTTAGTTTATTTTATGCTTTTTAATATTAAATTTTCAGTGTGAGAGAGATGGGGAGGATGTCAGGGAAAAGAGAGAGAGGGGAAAAGAAGGAGGAAAGAGAGAGGGGAGGGTAGTTCTTTTATATATGAGTTTTCATATTCATATGCATTTTAATTTACAATAATCTCACCTGTTATATGGAGTCATGTCCCATCTCAGACTGCTCATTTTACTTCCCTTCTCATTTTTCTTCTTTCTGAGGAAGCACCGTGGTGCTCCCTGTAGCTATTTTGCTGTGATTGCTCCAATTTGCCAGTCAAATTTATTGCAAGGGGTTCATTTGGCCTCCCAGGGACCAGAGCCAAAACCTGGCCCCCCCTCACACGAGGTGCAGGGATCAAATGACATTCTGCCATTTCACCGGGAAAGCAACCAGGAAGTTGGCAAAACTTTACAGACAACTACTGTACACAAGACTCAAAAACCACTAAACTGTCAATAAAATCCCCCAAACAATACAAAATATACAAAAGAAACACACAAAACTAACTTGAACCCATTAGTACTGAATGCCACCCAACGCAGCCCCGAGCTCAGTCCAGTGTCACCTTCATCAATTCATCCGCTCTTGTGTAACCTAGAGCAACGTAATAGTGCTCCTTTGTCACAATCTTGCAGGAAGCCCCAGAGTTTCTAAACTAGGTATAGTACTGGCTATCCAAGTACTCATCCTTTGGGGCCTTTTTTTTTTTTTTTTTTTTTTTTTTGGCTAGAGTATTGCCATTCCTGGTGATTGACTGGTCTATGAGGCTGTATCTTTGTAGCCCACGGGCTCACCTAGTAATCATAGGGAGGCTGATTCAATAGCTTCAAGAGAAACTTATTAAGTTTCTTCTTGAAAGCTGCTGTTATTCCAGTAATATTTCTTATACTTGTTGGCAGAAAGTTGAAGATTTATGTATTAACCTCTGATAATTACACAGGGTTTCTAATCATGTCTATTGCTCCTTGACTATTCAATGGATTTATTTTACACTTCCTAGGATATCTCCAGTGTGTCGTATTTGATTTATTTATTTATATATAAGAAGGTACATTGGGTTTGTGAGAGTTGGTGTTCTTACATTCTTGCAAAGCCACCAACACTCAGTGTTTTGGGCAGATTTTTTAATTTGTTTGCAATTTTATTATGCAGGTTTGAAATTTAACCTTCCAGTATTTTCACGTGTATATTTTCAGATCTCTCCCTCTCTTTCTTGTATCCATTCCAAGGATTACAGCATAAGTGCCTTCAGGCACTCTCAGTATTTTAAGTGTTTCAATGGGTCATTTTTTCCAGGTGATCTGCCACTCGTACTACATTTGGGTTCCCAATAACTGCTGAGTGCATAGAGGCAAGCAGATTGAAGAAACAATGAGGAGCTGTAAGAGTTAGCAAGGACTCGAGGGCAAACTTCCTTACGCAGCCTATTTTAACTGCGTTTTAACTTTTTAAGGCCTATCTAAAAACAAATCTTAAATTAGGAGAGCAGTGAGCTATTAAAGTAAAATCACTTTCCTAGTTTATATTTATTATTTTATTTAAGCTCTGGTCAAGTGTTAATGATCAATACTGTCTTTGATGGCAGGAAGTAGCTGCAGTAGCTGAAGCTGAACCAAGTGTTCCTGATGGTAGTGAGAGCATCAACACACTCCACACCATTACATCCAGCCAGGTGAGCCTATCATCCATCCATAGTGCCAGGAATTGTACTGACCAGATATTATTATGTAAAGGTATGTTACCTCACATACTAGTATTTCTCATGATATTCATCAGCTCAGTAGCAATGACAGCTACAGAGGCAGTGGAGATGGTAGTAACAGCACTACCAATGCTGACAGCTATGAAGTTTCAAGACCAAGTCCAGGCAATGAGAATGCTGGTGCTGGCGTCACCGGCAGACAACATGGCGGGGGCAACAGGCAGCATGGTGGTGGAAGAAGACAGCAAGGTGGTGGTGGAGGAGGAAGACAGCAAGGTGGTGGTGGAGGAGGAAGACAGCAAGGTGGTGGTGGTGGTGGAGGAAGACAGCAAAGTGGTGGTGGAGGAGGAGGAAGACAGCATGAGGGGACCTACAGCAATGTTGCAACTGGTGATAGAATCAGCACTGGAAGCCTGCCTGAATCAGACATCTCTCGCCATCAAATGGACACCACTATTCTCTTGCTCCAACGCCTCAGTGACAGGCTTACTGCTACTGAAACACTACAGAACCAGAGGGCAGAAAGAATAGACACCATAAACTACAGGTATGACAAAGAATATATGCCACACATTTGAGTCAGTATAAACAACTGAACACACAAAATGCACATTAAAGAGAAGCTAGCAATGCTGTTAAGTTTCCAATAATAGGCAGGGAATGAACACAACAAAACATATACAGTACATTAAATGTATAAAATCTACATCTAAATGTTATTTAAGACTCGTTGACAAAACATTACATGTACTACTGACACACAATTAGCTATATCTTCAAGACAATGTCAACTAAACACGGTATATGCTAAGCCATAATTTATAATAGCAGCAGCATAATCTTCTTTAGGTCTGTAATGGTGCGATCATTAAAACTGGAGCCAGATTTTAACACATTAATCACACACGAGCCATATGTAAGTTATGAAATACAGAGAAATAATATTCAATATGAAATAGTTGTAATATGTAATAAGAAGGAAAATGGTGTGACCAGTGAAAATGGGTTTCAGGATTTGTGTACTTGAAGATAAATATTGAGGATTGTAATACTGTGCACCAATTTCCAAAAATTTGCTTCTTAAAGCTAGTCTCCTTTTTATTCTACCAAGACTCACACGAATTGAACTGCAAGCAGAGGAACGCAAAAGCGTGATTAGTGAACTAAGCAATTCCCTACGCCACCGCATGGAGACAACTGATAATGAGCTGGATACGATTGTTACACACCTTGATGAAATTAAGTCTAGCATTAGAAGCCTCAGCCAACAACACAATGAATTTAAAGCCACCATTAGTGAAATACCTAAAGAGCAAGGTGAGTCAATTTTCTATACATTATCATTGTGAAAATTCTGTACACCTACCCTTGGAAATTCACAACCATCCTCCAACAGGACACTGCATATAGCAGTACAGAGGCATATGAACTGTTGCACATATACTGTATAACAACCCACAATGTCCATTATAAACAAATAATTAGGACTACTGTACTATCTTCCTGTCCTAGGCCCCAATCTAATGTATAATAGGCCTATCCTAATATATACTTTTGCTAAACATAGTATATAAATGTACTTTATTAGAATTAAGACAGCTCACATTGTTTTTTAGCGACACAGCATCACAGTTAACACACACATTGTACTCCCAGGCTTATACTTTATGAAACATCCCCAGTTAATAGACATCCTCACTTCTGAATGTTGTACTGAGACAACTATATGCAAGGTTGGTATCAAGGTAGAAGAAGCATTAATTCTTCCCTATGTCAAAACATTACCCATTTGTACATAAATATAGGTAGTATGGAAAACAAATTACAGCAAAGATGTATCAGTGGTCAGAATAGTCAGTTCATAACTGAAAGGTCCTGGGTTGGGTTCCTGATATCTCTATTCACCTAGCAGTAAATTGGCACTAGGCAACTACAGTATTACCATTCACAGTTTGGCATGCATGCACAATGATTATAAATTATACAAATGTTTTAGATACTGGTATCTGAATAGGTGCTGAAAGTGGGCAAAGCCTTGGACTAAAGTTGCAAGCTGTGACTGCAACAATCAACGGACTGCGCTCTGCAATGCAGGCTGTCAAAGACGACATTTCACAAATTGGGCAGAACCTAACTGTACTCACCAATGTCAGCCAGTAAGTTATGTAATGCAGTTTATGTATGTTTGTTTTCCCTATTTTGTTTCTGGAATGATGTGGAGATGCCCTGTGGCACAGATATATACTGTATACAGTATATTCACCCAATTAAGTTAAAGTTAACACACTGCATAAATTAAAAAAAAAATTGTGAAACTGCCTTTAATATTATTTATATTATTTTTTCAACGTGACTATCACAGACATTATAGTCCTTGAATGGCTATATAATTAAGTCATGTGCATCAAATTGACACTAACTTACAGAGCAATCTAACTTATTTTTCTATCACTTTTGAAGTATTTAAGTATCTTTTTGGTACAACTGACATTTTGAATTAACTTGCATCACTTTTATCCTAGTAAAGGAGGTAATCAGCAACTAATCAGGATAAATCATTTCAATATTTTCCATTATATAGTGATAAATTTTCATTAAGCTTACATACGAGACTTTTAATAACAACAGTTACTGTATTTTAACAAGTTACTGTATTTTAACAAGTTACTGTGTAGAGAAACTTACTACAATGCCCTAGTGCTTAAATGAAGGTGAAGGAAAGACCCACTGCATGTGTAAGTGTATTACAACACAATTTTTGGATGAAACCTACATCCTTTCTCAAGATGCTGTAAACATTGTTTGCAGCATCCTTACAGCTGTAAAGAATGTTTACATCTTGATAAAGGATGTAGGTTTGATCCAAAAATTTGGTTTTAATACACTTACAAATGTATTGGGTCTTTCCTTCAACTTCAAGTTACTGTGTTTTAACAAGTTATTATATTTTAACAAGTTACTGTACTTTAACTACTGTTTTGTTAAAAACATGGTAATACAGTATGTTAAAGGTATGGTGTACCTAAAATTTTACCTTTAAGTATATTTAAAATGCATTTTATATAGTATATACTGTACTTTTGTTTGTTTATACATGTGAAGTGTATGTTGTAATTTTGGATCAGAAAAAAATGAATTTCTTACAGGAAAATAGCAAAACGTGGAAAAACTCTCAGTGAATATAAATCCTTGGTAGATAGTCTAGTATTTGTTAGATATCAAGGGCAATACAAACTCAGATGGTATTATCAAGGGTAATACAAACTAATCTAAACATTATGCAATTCATGGTTAACAGTGGAAGGGTTGATGACAACTACTGTACTGCAAAGTATTTAATAACAGCGGTTATCTTGCGGTTACCTCGTGTTGATTCCAGGGGGTCAAGGTCCCTATGACCCATTCTCTGACCAAGCCTCCTGAAACACAGCTCCTGACCCACTCCACAAACACAGCTGTTTGTGTTACTGTTAAGGCAAACACTGCTAAGTAATAGGAACACTTAATACAAATAAGGACAAATCTAAAACTAACTACTAATACCCTGTACTGTATTTGTATACAGGAATTTAAAAGAAATCAAAGCCCCCACAGAGCAAATAATAAATGAGTATTTAAATTCTTTACCATAACACCATATGATGCATATACGGTAACAGAATGAAAACAACTTGTTTATTGTACTGATAACACAACAGAAATTATAACACAGGATGTAATACGAGAGAAAAGAAAACGTAAATTTCCATATGGTTTACAAAACTAACCATCTTTCAGCTATTTTAGCCGATTGTGTTATTTAAAATCAGTATTCTATACTGTAGTATATTTTGTATTTAGGTAAAAATATTAATTCATGAAATGCAAAATCTTTTTACAGAAATCTCGGTCAGCTGAGCCAGAACATCGTTACAAAACAATACATGCATCAGTCTCTCAATGAAATAAGAAACAAGGATACATCACCATCAATGTCCTTGTTAGCCCATATGATGGGTCAGTCCCGAGCCCCTAGACGGGGTTCAGGGAATCAGGGTAAGGTTTCTACAGGTATGTCACCATTATCTTGCTTAAATATTAAAAATAACGTACAAAATCATAATGAATACAAACAAAAAAACTATTTGAAAGGACATTGCTGAAGTCCCATAATAAATATTAGTTCTAAAATATGTATAATTAGTAACAATACAGCAATCAACTTTTCCCTAATAATGTAACATTTTAAGGAATATAGCAAAATCAGTTCTACAAATGTGATGAGAGTTGGATTATGAGAAAATATTGTTCTATATACTGTATGTACTAAGGGAAGACAAGAATTTTTTAGCTTTTAGCATTATCAATGCAGTGAAGTGGACACTCCAAAATTCAAATCTCCATGTAACAGATTCCACTTAACAACAGTTGACATTGGAGAGGCATTTGAGTAGAACACCACTTTTTATATCAATGAGTAGAGACTGTCAGGTTAGTGAGCACAGTCTGGGGCAGGATCCTCTACTCAAGTCAAGTGCAGAGCCCTAGTGTCATACCAGAACCATCATCCAATGTTATTACAATCTTAATTCCCAAGGTAATTGAAAAGGCAGCTACAGTGGCAAAGAAAGTAAGAGCCAAGATTCTAATGCACAGGGAAATAGGGTGGACAACAGAGAATCCTCACAGGAATGATGCAATGTAGAGAGCAAAATTGTTGGACATAGTGGACAAACACCTTGAAAGGGACCATACCACAGAACTGACAAGCGGAGGAGTAGAGGATCGACCAGCTACAATATACTTTGTGTTTACCCAGTATGAGGCAGCCATCAAGAATTTAGAATACAAGATGTTCCTAGGAACCAGCAACCAGTTATAATGATCAAATACATACTAGAGTTGGAATAAGAAAAATCACCTTTTCTTTCATTATAGAAATATCTTGTGATGCAGAATGCATTATACAATATTTAGGAGGGCAAATGATGTAAGAAAGCAATACAGTGTGTGTAAATCACAAGATGAAGTATGAAGACATACCATCAGCATGGCTCATAATAAGCAATAACACACACACACATAATGTATATGCATACACTCTTTATTTATTAGGTTTGTAATTTGAAATTATGCCTGAAATTTTAATTGTTGCTCTAGTTAATTTTATGTGAAAACATTGAATGGGAGAGGAAAATCCTTATGCTTAACCCCCAAAAAGTATTTAAATGGTTTTCTGCAAACTAATAGCTAAATATGTAAACTGTTGCCATATTCAACTTCACAAATAATTGAGAGCTTTCTACAGAGCCAGAGGACTGCTGGAAGTTAATGAACCAAGGTAAAAACAAATCTGGAGTATACCGCATCCGGCCAAGCTATGCCACAGCCCCATTCTTTGTCTACTGTGACATGGAAACTGATGGTGGAGGATGGACAGTAAGTAACCCCTCCAGTTGTCTTCATCATAACAATATCATTATTTATCTATCTATATTGTAAATTAGTTCACATTCTCAAACTCAGTCCTGCACCATAATGCTTTCTGGTATTCATCAATATCTTTGATGCCTTGCTTCCTCTGGAACCTCCCCACCTTTCACTACATGTAGAACTTTCAGCACATTTCAAAGGTTCTTGAAATATGTTACAAATTTACTGAAAATTATGTAAGCTAGTTTGGCATATGTAAAAGCGAAACATTTACTAATTGCTTACACTAGGATAAATATGTTTGTGGAAGGAATGAGGATTACCCTTAATAAATAAGTACAATTAAGAGAGAACAATCAGGGGGTACCTTTAGTAAGTATAGTATTGAATATACTTACTAAAGGTAGAAAGCATGAGGACTGCCTTCAGTATGTACAATATAATCAGTTAAGATAATAAAGAGAAAATGTTTAATACTGTATACAGTGTGCTTCTAATGCTTAAAAAAAAATACATTTCTACTGATTGTGTTATTTCTCAGTCAGTTTTTTTGTATTATAATTTGTAAATATTCATATTCCTATTTCAGTGGTTCTACTTTAAGTTGAAATAATAATTTTGTTATTCTACTACATAAAATTATTAATAGGCCAACTTGCTAAAACTCCTGTTAATAAATAATGTACCTATTTGTAATAAATTAACATTTAGGTGAGGATAATAATGCCAACTATCAATTTCTTAGGTTATCCAAAGGAGGGAAGATGGTTCTGTTGACTTCCTCCGTGAATGGGCTGACTATAAGTATGGGTTTGGAAATTTAGCTGGAGAGTTTTGGCTTGGGAATGAGAAGATTCACCTACTCACAAACCAACATGTAAGATGTTGTATTCAAGACTATGTTAATGAAGACAAACTTTCTCTTTGAGGTGACAATGTAATGAAATACTGTAATTGTTATTGATAGTCTATAAATATGAATTATAATGTCACTGCAAAAACAGTAACCCACACTTATTTTAACCAAGGTATCAAAATTACGAGTAGAGCTGGCAGATTTTGACCAACAAAGTGGACATGCAGTATACTCAGCTTTTGCAATTGGCTCAGAACTAGAAGGATACTCACTCAAAATGCTTGGGCAGTACAGCGGAGATGCAGGTATAATATGATGAGACTATTCTCTTGTGAGTGAATATCAGTGTCTAGAGAAAAGGCTTAGATCATTGTTTTTCTCTGCATCTTCTTTTGTTTTTGCAAACAATTGTATCATTTTATATGAATATTTTCTTTTTTTGCAGAGGCAGTGATACCTTTGATGATGCCTACATGTCTAGATAAATTTATTTGGTTAGGTTATTTATTTTGTTATTTTCCATGTGAGATTATGCCAGGCTACACCACTAGTCATATGATAAGCTACTTGTTCCATTTCTCACATAAGCTCAGAAATTTTGATCATAGGAAGATGACCCCACTCTGAATCACACACAGATCCAAATTGCCTGAATATTTTGTAATACTGTATAACCAAATTAATTAATATACCGGTATATCCTTATAGACAATCACTAGTGAAGTAATTACGGTATTCTGTAAACCAGGGGGTGATACCAAGCAATGGAGGTTTAAACCCTGGTCAGGTCATAGTATTCTTAAGTGATACTGTATAATAAATATATACAGGTACAGTGGAACCTTAATATACGAATTTAATCCATTCCAAAAAATTTGCACGATAAATAATTAACATAAATCTTTTGAATTACTGGATGCCAATAAATGATAATCTAATGTTTTACTGAAAAAATCAACTGACGTTAAATCGTTATTTAATTTTGTATGGATTTTCATAAAGTAAATCTTAACAACATTCATTGTTCAGGTGACTCACTACGGTATCACGTGGGACGCCGCTTCAGCACCACAGACGTAGATAATGATGCTTGGCCAGAAAAAAGCTGCGCACGGGATCATAAAGGTGCCTGGTGGTACAGGGCATGTGAAACAAGGTAAAATTTATAATTATCTATGTTCTATACACACAGTTATACAATGTACTGAACTACCTGTACTGTATTTATACCACTGCGGTGCAACCCGAGAAATACAAAAAGATTTTACTACAGAAAAATACTGTTATGTACAGTATTTGAAATCTGCAATTTGTTTACCAGTTTTATACACACTACAGTGTACAAAACGTCCAGGCTGACACTGCATTGTTACTGTTCACTACCTAATACCTGTTGACGATTCCGAGGATGAACATCTCCGTGGCCTGGTCTCTGATCAAGGTTGCTGGTCTGATCAACCAGGCTGTTGAACAGTGTTTGAGAACTGCGAGTGGTTAGCCAGTTATACCTCGCATGTGTAGGGGAAGTGTGCTGAAAAGTCTTGGGCCTTTGATGTTGATAGAGTTCTCTTTAAGCATACCCATTGCACCTCTGCTATCTGTCCAAGATTGGTGACTAGACACTTGGGAATAATGTCACTGGTATGGGACTTATTGGCTAGTTGGGGTCAGACCCAGTGCCCACCTTTAAGTAGGATCATCTACTTAAAAGGGGAGGAAAGGAAAGAGGGCAGAGGAGTGGAGTAGGGGGATAGGATAAGAGAGAGGCTCGAGATGGGGAACTGCCGTGTACCCTCATCTAGTATTGTATATTGATATGCAGAAGTATGTTTAATATGATTTACATGAAAAAATTCTAAAAGGGGTTCAGAATGATACTAGCCAGGTTTTTAAGCATATTGTATAGTACTTCAGCTTTAAAATTAGGCATTGAGACTTATGATTCACTCCTTTCTGTGCAGCCCTTTGACAGCTAACCAGGCCAGTCAAGATCTCGCCAAGATAGTGCAGGTGAAAGGAACCGAGACCTAGACAATGAGAGCCCAAGAGGATGACAGCCCGATACTGCCCCTGAAGAGACAAACTAAACCACCATGGAAAGGAGGTGACGGCTGATGGTCAACCCCAAAACCAGCAAACCTATCAAGGCGAAGGGATATTGTAAGGAATCCTATTATGAGGGAACCCCAGCAAGGTGAAAACAGACTGCAGGACACCTGACCATGAAAGTCCACACGGCAGAGAAGCCTGAACCCACATAGAGCAGCACCCAACTGAACCCTGGAAGGAGATGGAGCCATGGGAATTGACACCAAGGAAGAATACCGTGCAAGCCAAGAAATATTAAAACGAACTCAGGTAAAGAAGAACTGATACAACATCAACCCAGAAGGAAGGAATAGAAACCCAACCAACCCAGGAAAAGTGAAAATAGTTATCATGCATACTTGGAACCGAGAATTGAGCAACACACAGAAGCTCCCACATCCACGACAAAAGGAAAAGAACATCCGTGGGATGACTTAACAGACCACAAAGTCAACAGGGACACATCAACCACCAAAACATGTGTTATATGCTTTACAACTGCATTATAATGAAATATATTTTTATCTTGAGCTCTATCTTTGTACATTAAGACTTTTTCTGGGTAACAGTGACTGCCAAAATTTCACTTACTTCACTCAAGTTTTTAAATATTATCATGCTTTCTGCCATGATTAAGACAATCTGAGTATTAGGAAAGTTTTATGTAATTTTCCCAGTATTTAAAATGTTTAGGCCACTACTAAATTTGCAACAATTCTCCAGCAATCTCAATGGAAGATATCTACATGGACCCGTGCCCGCTGACCATCAATACACTGGCCTCTACTGGTATGACTTCAGGGGGCCCCAGTACTCCCTCTGGAAGTCAAGTATGATGATTCGTCGGGGAGGAAGTGTCGGAGATCCTGTTTTTAAAGCATTTAAGGAAGTAAAAAAGCAAGCAACAACAGAAAGGTACATAATTTCCTTATTTCACTTGCATCCACATGCCATGTTTTAAATACACAGATCTTCACTTTGTTTCACTTGCCTAAGAGGTACACGAGTTTCACTTTCGCCGGAATCTATAAAAGTTTAAGATATACATAACAATACAGGTACTTAATGCATATAGAGTAACTATTTAAGAAAATTCAATAATGAACACATTCTCTTTATCTTTCTTCTCCAGGATATCCAGCAACAATCAACAGGATAAAATAACCACAACGTCACCAGACAACTTCAACCCAGATCACGACCCATATGCCATCTATGAATATCCAACGTATTCATAGGACACAATAACACACCAAGAGAACTCTAACCACAGTACCAATACTGTACTGTAATTTGGATGAATACAACCCCACGATTTTAGATGCATATAAAAATAATGATTTTGAATGAAAGTTTTGATGCAGCATGTATGTAACCGACAGTTGATAATACAAAATACCTTCAGCTGCCTCATAATGACAGATTTGGGTTACCCACCATACCAAATTCCATTCTTATTGTCTAATTCAAGTACCAAACTTCGGTAATATAACGCTCTATTTACTCGAGACAATATAAAAGCTTGGAAACTATACAGCTATAACATATTTTTCTTCAAAATATTGTATACTGTACAATGCAGCAGGTAATTGTGAGAGGCAATAAATACTAATAAAGGCAATATCATGCAATCCATTTTGTCCATTACTGTAAGGGTGTGGTTGATGTGTTTTTGCTCTTCAGAATCACCTATGTTGAATAGGTCAGTAAATGTACTACCAATGAAATGTAAATAGCTAAATATAAAATAAGTTGGTCAACTCTAGATAAGCATTAATTATAAATATGCTTTCAGCTATATTTTGTGGCAATTAAATGTAAAGCTTAAGCAATAAAGTAATTAACATTATAATATTTCTGTCTAATGAACCTTTAACCTTTCCTTGGGACAAACATCTCTCAATAACATTCTGGGTGTGTGTGTGTAATAACGTTACTGGTCCTACAGCTGACTGCCAAAATTCATCATTAGTTGCCTGAAGAGTAAGCTTGTGAGGGCACAGCAGTATCCTGACACATCTGGTATAGCAGTCAGGAGGAATATCTGACTTGAGGACAGGCTACATTAACCCTTATCTAAAATTGTGATGTCAAGTGAACACAAAAAACCTTCAATTGTTACTCTGTACAATAATACCTTATTTCACTCCACTCTCCCTACACCTCCCATCCACTTGGGCTGGACAGTAGAGCGACGGTCTCACTTCATGCAGATCGGCGTTCTATCCCCGACCTTCCAAGTGGTTGGGCACCATTCCTTCCCCTACCTGCCACATCCCAAATCCTTATCCTGACCCTTTCCCAGTGCTATATAGTCATAATGACTTGGCACTTCTCCTGATAATTCCTTTCCTTCCTTCCTTCTCCCTACACCTTTAGGCGTGAACATGATGTGTAGTTCAAATGCCCAGTGAAGATTCCTTATATTGACACCCTTTAACCCTTACAATGGACATTGTACCAAGAGATACAGAAAGAACTATATTATATTAAAGAGGACACATATAAAGAAGAGAATTTTGAGAACAGAGAACACACTGGGTACTCACCAATTTTGAAACCTCTCTGCCATGAGAAACTAACACTCCGAGGCTTAAAATGAATCTTGTCTCGATGAGTATTGGAAACTTTTCCAATAACTTTATCGTCACGAAGGGACTCTTCAATTTCAAAATCCATTGTAGCAATTATCCTTCGCACCCTTTCTATTGGTTTTTCTGTTGAAATAGAGCTAGTTTCAACAGAAACATTGGTTTAAATACTAATAAATTAATTCATTTAATTATGAAACTAATTGTAGAGGAAATTTTTTATAAATTCTCCAAGAGAAATAAAGATGGTTAACAAACAAAATTCCTTTACAAGTTTTCCCATGTCACCCCTGATTTAAAGATTGAAATAGATGAAAAATTCATATCAAATTTATTTAACATAATATATAGTAGAACTCATTAAGAGTTAGTATAAATATTTAAATAATGTTCACTTAATAATGGCCACAACCAAGGAAATTATTCGCACCTCCAGCATGTGAACTATTGCCATCTTTCTGGTCAACTGGTTTTTCTGCACTCTGCTGGCTGCGTCTTGTGTTTCTTCTGTTAGAAAACACAGGAAATTATTAATGCTCTGAAAAAAACAAAAATAGCAAATTAATGCCAACACTACTAGTTTTTAGCCAATATTTAAACTAATATCCGCAAAGTTAAAGGAACTTGTGTGAATTAATATTTCAGTGTGTCGACCTGCTGTACCTGTAAGTACAAATATTGACCACATATCCATATTTGACAGTTTTATCTAGTTCTCTTCTACAATTTAGTATTCTTTATGAATGCTAGTTATCAATTAAATCTCTATCTTTAGGTGTATATTTTCATCACTTGGTTATCTCCAGCATATTGAGATTTTTAATGAGATTAAACATTAAATATTCTTGCAATATGTATAAAACCAATAATGTGGGGAAATTTTACATTTTAGTATAATATCAAGAGATATTTATCACAAACTGTCAGTGAAATAATCACTATGAAACAAAAAGAGCTTCAAGAAATTTTTAACCAAAAATTCACCATGGCCAATAATATTGTTTTCTGCTTTATAGTACGAGTCAAAACCGATTTGTTCTGCTGTATTGCTATATCACTGTTACTTTTACACTTTTTCTACCCAATATTTATCATCGCAAGGTCTCTTCTTGCATTTGCCACTAGTAGAAGACTTCCACTTAATTCCCATCATTTGAGTCAATATGGTGACAGGATATTTATGTTTTTAATTTAAATACCCAGGAATGGAAGTGTGAAAACACCTTTGATGTATGCTGATGATGACAATAAAGCTCAAGTGTGAGACTCCTTCAGAAGCAGGACTGTAAAGCATGCGACTGAAAAAAACACAGCAGAGCTGTTCAAATAGAACAACAACAAATGAAGGAACAGTGTCTGTATAATCTCAACATTTCACTTTCCAGATCTATAAACTTAAATAGTTTATATGACACAGTCCAATCATTCAATAAAATGCTCAACATATAATTTTGCATGAAGTCATGATGCTACTAATCTACTTAGTGAGAAGTACATTTTTACTCTAGAAAAATTATTGATAGCTCCTACAGGCAGCTTTCACAAAGATAACCATGCACATGCACAAATATTAACCTCTTTGTGATGCTTCAACATACAGTATTTAAGTACCTTACAATATAGGGTGTCGAGTGTAGCAAAATGTTTCTTTCTGAGCCAGACTCCCAGATGCTTCTACATAATCCACCCAGAACTCACATCACCCACCAGGCTTTCATCACTATTTCCCCATCATGACAGGTATCTTTTGTCAGTCCTGGCTTTTATTTAGGTTGAGACAGCAGCAAATCTAACACAAGCCACCACTTTGAGCATCAGCTAGCTATAATTCAAGACCAGCCTTCATGGAGATCTTCAAGATCTTCATGAAGACCAGCCACCACTTCAATCAGTGGGGGCTGGTTAAAATCACACTGTCTCAGACTCTAAAATATGAAAGGGCCACTTGCAAAGTTACCTGTCATCATGGGGATAAAAGTCACGAGAGCCAGGTGAGTGAAAATCCTGGGTGAAAACAAATGAGTTGGCTATGAGAGCAACAAACGGGTTATAGCCGAGAAATTTATTTTAAAATTATATATACCTGTACATGTACTGTACATTAAAAGCTAGACAAAATATTTTAATCCCTTCTAGGAGAGATCTGCTGACTTTATAAGCAAAGGCATCTTGGGTATCACACTTCATTTCACAGGGAGCATTACAGTATTATAATAATACTTGGATAAAATGTGCAAATACATCCTTAAATTTAAAATATTTAAATAATATACAATAATGGAAAAATACTGATATCTTGACTACTGTATTGTCCACAGCGCACCTTAAGAAGGGACTCTCCGTTGGGTTTATTACAGGAGAATAATCGCTCATGGAGGACTGTGTGGAAAAGGATCTCTCAGGTGGTATGTGGACTGAGGATGATGAGGAAGAAGACCTGCCAAAAATGTCACAGACTATTAATTAAAATGCAGATCTATTGTTGGCAAACTTCTGGGAAATATAATTACGAATAAATCAAGAATTTATGAAATATCCATTAATAGATCATAACATACATCCGAGCAAAAAGAAGGCATGTTAATACTACATGTTGCTTATTAACTACAATACCAGTATGTGGAAATTTCATGCCATCCCTAGGATATAAGGTAAAATTTAAATCTGCATGGCTTAATGATATTGCCATTAACCCTCTAAGTGGTATTACTTTGGGAGACTCAGTCACACTGCGGTTGGTGAGAATGCCATCACCAAATATAACACCGGGTTTTGTTTTTCCCCACTTACCCATATCTAACCTTGCATTCTGGCAGTAATTAGTTTTCACATAATTCCAGCTGAATGTAAATACCGGTAGTTATGTCATGTGTATTTTAGCATTTGGGAGGGGGGGGGGGGGAATAATGAGACTTTAAGGACTGTTAGCAGCACAAAGGTGTAGCACGGAATGGGTTAAGCTAAGCAACATAGAGAACATGTGGTTAGTTCGTTGATCCTTTATAAAACAGCCTGCACCAATTTGAATTTTACATTACCAAAAAATTCACAAGCAATTGTACACAGTACATCAGCCGTGTTTCTCTGCAAGCTTCAGCGGCTATGCAGCTACACACTATGAGAATTTCATGCTCTTTTGTAGCTTGTTGCAAAAACAGTTACCTTTAGCATCATACACTATAATTTTGTTAATAGTTCTATATATGGGATGGTGCAGAGTGATGACATGTGGAGTCTTTGGTGCGGCACACTTCACTGACCCCCTACTGTTGTGTACACATTTAAATATGGTTATTTTTAACACATTATTTTGAATAACCGTAAGTAGGAAATTATAAGGAGAAAGCACCAAGCCATTATAACAAAAGGGGTATGAGGATAGGGATTTAGGATAAGAAGAAGGAAAGAAATGGTGCCCAACCACTTGGACAGTCAGGGATTGAACGCCAACCTGTAAGGTAGGCCATCGCTCTACTGTCCATTCCAAGTAGTTGTTTTGCCGACAAAAACCTGTAAATATGCCACACCTTCTACTCTGCTTGTCATACCAGTGTTGTCACATCATGTGAGGTTAACAATTCAATAAAGGAAAGCAGTTCCATAACATATATGTTAATAGCATCATAAACACCCCCCAGGTAGCTTTCTCAGGTAACTTGCTTTGCTGGATATCCACCAATCATAACCATCTACATTAAAATTATTTGCAGCTTACTGTACATTAACAAATTTGCTATATTAAAGAAGCTGGTTATGTCCTTTGTAGAATTATTTTTAATATACAAGTATATGCTTTGTAAGTAAAGCCACCAAAAACAAAAAGTTCTTTTGAAGGAGATGCATTTTACAGTACCTGAAGTGTCTGGGCAGAACTGGGGTTAGAGGAGTCCCTGGTGGTTTCACATCTGGAGCCGTGCCAATGATATACTCACGACAGCTTTCAATTTCCATTACAAGTTGCTATGAGGATAAATTGGCTCGGTAGTGATTTTGTTACATCTTACAATTACAACTATGTCAAGTTTCTTCAAAGGTAAACTGGCATGGTAGTTACCTTTTAATCTTTGGAATTATTTTAGAATTTTAAGGAGTATCTAACAAACTTTAAATTTGTGAACAGATAACAAAATGAATGCAGCAGTATTATGATCACTTTACATCATTACGTTAGCCTTTGAATGACAAACTTAATAATAAAAAGACAAGAAAATACATTAACTTATGACAGCAGTGTCTTACAACAAAATAAATCAAATTATTATAAAATTATTTCATTTTGAATGATAAGTTGCCTTCTAATAAAGAAAACCAGACTACCATAAAGCCCCATCGAACACTCCTAATAACACTTATATTATTAATCTGGAATTTAAAGTATAAATTCAAGCAAAGATACATACATTAACATAAGAAAAACAATAAAAAAAAAATAAAGGCAAGTAATGCTTTAGTGTGTTAAATGATACAATACAGTTTCTATGTATGAATACTTGTGGGGAAGCCCAGTGCAACTGAGGGTCAAGCTGTCCTAATCATGTACTGTACTATGTACTGTATTACCTTTTCTCAAGAATTTTCATTCCTTTTTTTTATGAAGAGAAAAGATGTTTCCTAGCAAGCAATTAGGCTAAACAATGTAGCAAGAGATAGCATAACTAGGACAAATTTAAGGCTAAACTGACAAAAAAAAAGCCATTGAGAGGCTGGAAAGCAAGGAGGCTGGGGGGTGGAGGTCAGCATTGGTTTTCAACGAAAAGGTATAAAAAAAACCATTTTAATGTTTATTACCTATACAAGGAAAATGAGTTTTGAGGGCAAAGAGTCTCGGAGAAAAATGTGTGTTCTATAACATAGGGTTAAGAAAATACCCTAAATTTAGTGAAAATAATAATAATAATGAAAAGTACTATTTGAAGGTTCAGAACTGGTCCAGAATGTAGGTGTACTGTAGTGTAAAACTAATGAGGTTCTGTTATACAATATTTCAAGACATTATAATAGAACAGTAATTACAGTAAGCTTCATCTACTATACTTTGAAATCCTAAAATTCAAATCCAAACAAAATTTGACTTCAATTATTATCTCCAATGAATCCAAACACATTTTAGGATAAACAGGAGAGGATTCTGATAAATAGGAAATCAAAGTACTTAAACAATTATTTTCTTGTTTATTCTTATTTGAATGATTCAAAATGTATATGTTCCATGTGATTTTGGAATTCAGATTACACACGATTTGGAGATCTATTGTTTGTGCTAATCAAACAAAATTAGGCATAGAGTAATAAACAAATATCTATGTTTAATCCAAATCTCTGCTAACTCTGTCAGGAATCTGGTCCTAACTAGTTCAGTTAAACAGGACTTTGTTGTGTGTAATCCAGGAATTATGCAGGCAGCAACACTTAGCAACTCTACATTTCAAAAAGCAAAATTTTGCCAATTTGTAAATACGGAAAATTTGGAATGATTTTTTTTCTAATATTCACTATTACTTTTTGCAAGTCTCTTGGACATTAAGCAAAAATTTATGTTTGAATAACATTAATTCCTGGGATAGGAATATAGTCTTTGACTGTAGTGCTGAGAGGGGCAAAGTGATAGGTAAACCTATACAGTACCTGATAGTTTAGAAATAAAATAATTGTCTCCGGTGTTAGTAAAACCAAGTAAGACACCAACCTGAAAGTTGCTTTCCTCTAAATGTTTTGTATTATGCGGATCACAAACAAACACAATGAACTCCAATCCAGGATTTGCCCAGCGTGGTCTACTGCCTTTTCCGCGTGAATAATGGAACTGGACAAAATTCATCCACATACGTGCCAGACTGACTAACAGTGGAGCAACACGAGCTCGGTGTTCACCCGTGACTAATCTCGTAACTTCTTTGTGATACTGAAAAAATAATAATAAGCTATATATTGGCATATTAAACAGTATTACACACTTTTCCAGTGTAATTAAATTTCCAGTTAAAATTACATTTCCAATGTAGTAAAAGTTCTCAAAACTTTGTGAAAATATAGGTGGCTTCACAACCTTGGTATCCTATTTAGTGTTAATTATATGACAATTTTTTGTTAAGAGATGGGTAAAATTTAAATAAATTGTCCAATTGCACTTAAACAAAAATTTCATGTAAATAATAAATAAGTGGCATACCTCAAATCCAAACATATAATACTGATGAACAACGTCACGAGTAACAAGTCGGAGCTGACGACGCTCTGTCTCTTCTACATTAGGGGTGACTAACTCTAGATCTGTCATGCTCTCCACCTGCTTAATGTTCTTCAGGAGACTCTCGCAAAGTTCTAGTGCTTCATTCTGAAAACATTAGTTTGCACTTCAATAAATGGCATACCGAAATAAAAAAAATCCTCTCTCATAAACTATGTCCACCATTTTTTCAATTTATCTAGTTTTCAACTATGATTCTAATAATGTGTGTGTTTGTGTTAATAGTTTTGTAGAGTATAAAAATCCCTTGAAAGGATGAACTAATTCAGTTAATGCCAACTCTGTAAAATCCCACTTTTGTACTACGGTATTTAACAATCAATTTTATGCAAATTTGTATGCCAATGTAAATCTCCTGTATAAACAATATCATTTTTCTGAGCTCTGCATTAAAAACTTGCAGATCAACAAATATATTCTGATTTTCACTGAAAGCTTTTCTCAAAAATTATTACAAAATAATGACATATCCAATGAGACTTTTTCATGATGCCACTATTTTATATTGTACAAATCAGTTCACAGAAAAATATTGGTCAAACTCATCTACCATCTCACATCCCTCCTTGAGCTATACAGGTACTGTACTTAACATTATGACCAAACCCTACACCAAAAGATGAAGAAATGACAAAGTTTCGGTCCATCCTGGACCATTATCAAGCTGTATGTGACAATGGTCCAGGACAGACTGAAACGTCGTCGGATGAAATTGTTTATGTAATAATCTAAGATGAGGTCTGATGAAGACCTTTTGTGCCCTCTGTAATGCTTTTGCGCTACCGCTCACAGGATGAGTATGGGATGCACAATAAACTAGCCGCCTTCGGCGGCAACAATCAACGTCGTAATTTCTTCATCTTCAGGTGTGTGGTTTGGTCATCATATCTTCAATCACGTTATTATGACTCATCATCTGCAGGTACTTGACATATTTCCAGTACGTCAACAATCAATAAGGAAGCTGACACTGACCATCGATAGTTTTTACGTCATGGAAAACTTATCATGCTTAGAGTTCATACTCTTGTTAAGAAGAAAATTGCTGAAGTTTTTGCAATTTTTAATCCAAATACATGTACAGTAATGCAAAACCAAACTTAAATGGCCAATAACACACATCCCAAGAGAATGAGAGCTCATGGTATTGACATAATGAATGCACATGACAGAGCACTGTCAAATGTCCATGTTCCAATAAACTTCCTATTGTTTTAATATATAAAGCACCTGCAATGAAGAAAAAAGTGTTACATGATGTGGAAATTTTCCCTAGGCAACTGGCAAAATTGCAATTTTCAATAGGAATGATAGATTCGTCTCAAATTCTACAATAGCAACTAGAGAAGTAAAAGGGTTAAGATCCTTAACAAATATTTTGCAGTTCAGATACACACTAACATTTGAAAATGCATCTCCACATAAAACTGGAATTTAACTGTATGCATCACACAATCTAACAAATTGATGTAAGGAATGTAACTAATTCATGGAAAAGTCCTCATCCAAACCTTGAGTTCATCAATAGAATGTGTAACAGCTTTGTTAGGAGCAGTCTGCTCATGTATTAGGGCCACAGTACCACCCATAGATCGCTGGAACTCTCGGCGCACCGGTACTAACATTGTGCCGGTTGATACAATCAGCAGCAAACTTGTCACCTGGTAAATCAATGTATAATTATGTAAATAAGATTTTACAACAGCAGTGAATTCAAACGTAACACAATGACAACCAAAATAAAAAAAATAATGTGAAGGAATCACCTTGTAAGAATGTTATGAAACTTTAACAGTTTGATGTGAATTTTTCATGCCCATTTCCTACGGCTCTACTTTGACAGATATATTCTAGTATTACCTGATAAAAGCTTCAGTCAGATTTATAGACCTGTCCTAACTCTGATCTGCATCAATAGCATGGCTCAACATTACAATTAAAGCATCAATTAAATATTGATGAACTGCAAACAAAAAACTAAAATGTTATAAAACAATTCAATACTCTGTCAAAATTGTGTACATGCTCTCTCAGTACTGTGCTGAGATTATGCACACGCTCTTAAAGTTTTTATCTCATTCATAATGTGAGCATAAATGAATACAAAATTGCTTAGGTTATTCATAGAGGAAATATTAGTTTTTGTAATATTGTCCAGACGTGTTTCCAGTTTTTTAAATAAAATGATTAAAATTCTCAGAATGCAAAATCATATTGTATAATGAACTCCTCCTATCACTGGTTTTTTTATTTATATTTTTATTTATATATACAGGAGTTCTTACATTCTTGTAAAGTCACTTGGCACACAGCATTTTAGGCAGGTCCTTAATAATCCTAGTTTCCCTGGCATACAGCCCGCCAAATCGTTTAACAACAAGGTACCCATTCACTGCTGAGTGAACAGAGGCTACAGTTAATGATTGGCGCCCAGTCTGGGTACGAACCCAGGTCAAATCGCTGGTGAAGCGCCGGGCGAGTGTTTTACCACTGTGCCAAGAGAACTACTGGTACTTAGTTGCATGGGTTGTTCTTCTTAAGCTAATATGGGAGAATCATGAATACAAACTTGCATTAAGATTAGAATATTTTGGTTACAATCACTAAGCAGTCAGCAATATTTGATTACATTCACAAGTTAGTCTACATTTGCTTTGTAAGATGCTATTCTGCAACATTTGGCTACAGTTACTTGGTAGTCTGCAACATTTATAAGCCATCCTTTTAGGCTTGGAATAGATGAATTGTTTTTGTTTAGGCTCTATTCTCATTAAGGTCTGGCATCAAGGCATACATTGTTCTCTTTGTCTCTCATCCTGAACTTTCATATCATAGTTCCATGTATTAAGGCTTGTGTTTCCAAGCTGCTTCACAGCGTTAAGGGCACATGATATGTAGAAATTTATCACTACCGTGGTATTTGTCTCGGTGATGTCATGCTCCAATATCAGGGCTCAAGGAATTTTGAAATCCAACAAAATATTCATGGCCAGCTACCTGCTGAGAAATGTAAACCTAAACTACTAGCGCGTGGTTTCAGGCTAACATTTCCCATTAGTCACATATTTCGGATGGGGCTGGGTGGTTATACCTGCAGGATACTGGTCTGAGTGCCGTGCTCCTGCATCCTACTCTTGTAGCCATCTTCAGTCACCACACTGTGGAGCATGTCAGTCAGTCACCACACTGTGGAGCATGTCAGTCAGTCACCACACTGTGGAGCATGTCAGTCAGTCACCACACTGTGGAGCATGTCAGTCAGTCACCATACTGTGGAGCATGTCAGTCGGTCTCATGTCATTCTTTAATTGTCACATCTCAGTCTTCCATTTTAAACTATCCTTTGCTTAGCATGAGGAGCAACTAGAAATAAAGCTTTGAATATAATGTATATGAAAAGCACCTTTCTGTGAGAACTTCAGCCACATTTTTTTTCATTTATCTTTCTTTTCTTCCTTGGTGGTCTGGATGTTATCTATCTTTCAATTTCAATTCTTATTTCTTGCAGGTAATTTTATATGTTCATGAAGTTGTCATTCTATCCACAGATTCTAGTTACTGTACCTTGTGCAAGAAAGTCAACTGTTTCATTTTCATGAAAATGCACAAAGCATTCCAAGACATCACATTTTCAAGGCGAAAATAATCTAAAAGGAAGACAATGCAGATTTGTATTAATACAATATATTTCACATAACTTACCATAACTCTTGAAAGCGTAATGGTGCAGTCAGCTGTTGGCTCAATCTCAATGATATCTCCATTCCACAACTTTGATAAGGTGTCGTATTCATCACATTTTATCAAAACCATATACAGGTAACCCCGTTCATCACCATCTTCGTGCTCGACTCCTATACCACCAACCCGCATGTCCAGTAAGTGCCATATGTATTCTCTCTTGTCTTTAATGCGCCCTGCCAGTAAGAGAATATACAGTTTAACAACTATATTCCAAAAACTATATCATATATGTAATGATTTTGAAAATCTCTTCTGATGAATTATGCAATACTTAATGCTAAATTACTTTCTAAGTATAACTGTGATTCAGATATTGCTTTTAGTTATTCCACTTCATTGTTCTGATTTGTAATGCTGGGGAAAATTTCATATGTTAGCTACCCTCTGAGGATGGTGAAATCTACACCATTATGCAGCTTCCTAGAGAAAAAATCAGACTCCCAAGCTGAAAACTGACTAGCGCATAATTAAAAATTCTCAACTTTTCCAAATTTCACAACAATCTGATGTGTTTTCAAAAACAGCATATGGCACAATATCGAGAAAAATAAAGGTACATTTAAAAATTCACTGCATCAGCCATTTTCCATTAATATCTCAATAAAATGCTGGCCTGACAATGAATATTAGGTACTGTCATTACTTCCATACCACAAATGTACTTTATGAAGTAGATTTCTGAGCTCACTAATGACCTAAAAGAGAAAATCCACCAGGGATGTGAGGTGGCACGAGCCTACGACCCCGACAGTGCCAGTCGCATACTCTACCACGGGACCACTGTTGACTTGTTTCATCGATATATATCACAGTGTAATTTGTGTGTTAATGATCTAGATGGCAGTAAAATTACCTTTCTTTTGTCTATTAGGGTATCTTGGTTAGAATAACTTGAAAAAGAACTAGGAGGGGCCCACGATGAAAGAATACATTACATCTAAAACAAGAGTTTAAACCACAAGAACCCATTTTGAAGTTATCACAATGCAAGATTATATATCGGTAATACAAATTACATAAAACACAAAACTTGCAGCAAGTAAATATGTTTGGTGCTAAAAGGACATGGTCATGCTAAGCAAAATTTTCATCATGAAAGGATCTACTGTATTTGTTTAGATATTATATACGAACAATAGTTTTTACAATCTGCCTACTATAGCAAAAGTTAGTTAACATAGAAGGGAATTTCAAATAGTATTGATGATGTACATTAATATTTTGTTGTTCAATCAACATATAAGAAAACAACTGAGCACAAAGTGCAATGAAATGAACACTAACTAACATACGCTACTCTAATGTTTCAACATTACACACCTGGTACAAATATTAAATGGTTTAGACTATGGGGAGCTATGACACGAATGTGTCCAGTTTCTCGCAGCCTGCCCAACACAGCTGGTGGTTCCCCACAGAGGCAAAATTCTGAAGCAACTTCTAGGTCCTTCCGCAGCATTTTGGCCAGTCCAGCCGCTCGTAATGATCGTTCACGAGTCTCTGCAAGCAGCACCTGCAATGCTCTGCATCTCTGCAAAAGTCTTTTTCTGAAAAATAATTTATCACTTGTATTACTGTATTCCATAATAAAATATATATTACAATCCTCAAAATTATGTACCATTTAAACAAAATTTCATCAGCTCTATTACTAATCTTCCAATTTTCTTCATCAGCTCTATCACTAATCTTCCACACACCTGAAAATGCATCTATAAAACTCCTGTATGACCAAAATAAAAGAATATAGTAACCTCACTACAGAGAAACATTATTCATCTGATTATCATTGTTCCAAAGAAAAATTGAAATGATAATTAAGTCTGTTTTGTGGACAATCCAATGCAAGGCTATTTTGAGTTGGCTGCACCCGGGTCTCTCTTTTACTCTCCCCCTCTCCACCTTTCTCAATCAATCAATCAATCACTAAAGTGACTGAATTACCCACTTCTGAATATCATCTTGTTCCATATCTTCATCTTCACTCAAGTCATCAAGGTTCTCCAACGTGGAATCTTGCATGGCTGCCATCTGATCATCTATTCCAGTGTCAATAAAGTCCCCAACACTACAAAGCATGTGACATGCAATGTTACTGTGAAAAAGACAATTACAGAAGTTTAAATACATTTTTACATAGAGATTATCACTTTCAAATATTTTCCAATGACTCATGAGAGCTGATTGCTTAATAAGTTCCCAAAACAGAAAATGAAGAAATATCCTTGTGTATAAACATAAAATCTTGCTTTAAGGTCACACACACATTAATGACCAATTACAACACTCAACCCATTTTATGTCTTAAAACTTTGCTTTTCTTATTTACCCATATGTTTGTGAAACAATAATGTTACTGTATGTATAGTGCATATAATACGCTGTATAAATATAGTACTGCATAACAGATTGATAGATCTCACCAGAAACGTGTTGCCGCCAAGCTGTCTCCCTCAGTAACGTGGGGACATGTAGCTTGAACAAAGCGCCATTCTTCTTGGAGAAAATTGCGCTGCAAACTCGATGCATGAGGTTCTCGGTGCAACATACACACAAACTGATCCAGCCATTCTAAATACACCTGGAGAGACAATTAACATATTTGTATGACAATTTATGTGTAACATATTAACATTGCTATCTTACTATCCATATTGTATTATCTTATTATTTCATAACACTATGGCTGCCAGCATGAAACCTGGCAGCCATAGTGTTATGAAATAATAAACAGCAAAACATACCTGCAATACAAACACAAAAGAACGAACTACATGTCAGTGGAAAGAGGAAGGGATTGCAGAGAGGTGTAAAAATAGTACATTAATAATAAAGTTGTTAAAGTCAAGCTGTCAATGTTCTGACCAACTTTAAATCTTTTAAATTGTTACAATATAAGGGGCATAGCAGGAAAGCAGAGATACATAAACAAACTGATGCAACTGTTGATAAACAATAACTTTCCCAAGTAGTAAAATGTGTCAAATCCCAAAATTATTACCGACAAATTTAAATTAATGATTTATGACTAAACTTTTATATTGTATATCCAACTAATCAGAAAGAAACAAGTGCACCAAACTTACAGAATTGATTCTGAATAACAAAGATGTTAGTTTAAGTGTGTCTAGCCAATTAAATAATTTCAGAACATGCCTTAATACAAATACATTGCACTTACTTCTAACATTCTCTTAATGTTGGCATCAAGTTCTTCTATGGCTTGATTCTGTCTTTGTTCCAAGTTATCTCGCAGCTCTGGGGTGAGGTGAATGAAAAGAGCTTGGCATGACCGCAAATACTTCTGCCTCACCAATACAGCAAACTTCACACCCTCTTTGTACTCTCTCATAAGCTGTGTGAAAGCAAAAATGATAACATCTAATAAAGCATTTTAAAGCTCACAAATATCAACAGTACATATATCAAAGTCTGGACAAAAATTAAACTAGACAATATATTTTAAACACAACTAATTTCTTCAACACTATAACAATATTAGTCAATGTCCCTTGGCAAATACGGTATATAATAACTTGAACACTGCTGAATCTCAGTGCCTGACCAGATACTTTGATAATACTAAACCTAAATAGTTGACTAATGCTAAGTGTAAGTACTTGTCTTCCATCAACTTACTTCCTTAATACTAAGTCTAGAAGGTTTCTCAGGCATTTGTTCCAGTCTCAGCTTAAGACACTCTCTCATCATTTGGAGTGAAACAGCAGCCAAGAATATGAACATTGAATAAAAGGGAGGGAGCTTCATAGTATCAAATTTGGAAGTCCAAGGGCCATATTTGTTTAGCTCTTGCAAGGTCACAGCCAATGCAACTGAAGGTACATCAGATCCATACTGAAATATAAATTACTGACATTAATGGTACATTTCAGAGCTAAAAATGGCACTACATAAAGTTAATTAAACACAAATTATATGCACAATACATTTTAGTTTCTTAAAATATGACAGAACTCAAACTTAGAGGGAACATGGAAAGTATTTTTCTGGGCAGCATGCAGTTACTGCCTTAGGCATAATCCTAGTGACCTCTGGTCAAGACAAGTCAAAATTCAGCGCCAGTGCAGCTGGGAACTTTCAAACTTTTCCTGCCAGGTCATGCTGGTGCTAAGGAGGCACAATCCAGACCTGAATCATTAAGTTGAAAAGTCCAGATGGGCCACATTCTCCTCTCAGTAGATGGGATTCTGTAATACCACTGTATCAGCTAAAAGCTGAGAACTCTACTACTGATATAGAAGAGCCAAAGCTCAAAGCTTGCTACAAACTTCATGGAAGAACAAATTTTCAAAGTTCCTACCTCTAATACAACAACACATTCAAGAAAATAAGCAAAGGCAGTAACAAATGCTAGAGTACCAGGAACTCTGCCCAGTAGCAAAGTGCACAAGAAGAGATCTGGCAGCCAAGGAAGCGCTTTAGCTTAACCCTGTCCACACAAATAACAAGGATGGTTGAGAAATACCCATGGCTGGGACAAAATTAACAAGAATAATGAAATGTTAGCAAGGCTTGACCAGGAGTAAACATGAAAACTGTTACAACACGCTGGTGATAAAAGATCGGCCATACCCTGTACACAGTACAAAGTGCTGGACAAGGCACAAGAAGTGTAAAAAAGAGGGGGATCTCCAGACAAGAAAACCAATGCAAGTGTACTATAATATTGGACTTACGACAGATAGTAAATATATGCTCAGCACAAATGTTTACATTTTTATAGTAAGGAAAATCAAGAGGAGAATCACAACTGTTAAACGCAAACTGACTAAGCACAGAGATGAGTGCAGATGCACAAAGGGCTTGCTACACATGTACAAGAAGCACTCAATAATGTAGCATAAGTCACCACAAAACAAAACATTTTTAAGATAACAGAAGCCTTTTAACTCCAAAGTCTTGTCTCACCCTGCAAGACGTCAGGACAAAATGCGAGATTGGGCTGGAAGACTTTGTTGTGGTGTCAGTGGTGCCACCTGTACGTGACCTGGTGGGCTGTTCAGTGCTCTAGTTAACTAGGGTGTGAGGCTTAGCATGTTTTTTATACTAAGATGTCTCCTGGAAAGACACTTATTTTATGCACAGTGGAACCTTGATTCAACAAACCTCATTTCATCGAATCTAAGTGTGGAATGCATTTTCAATGATGGATTTACTAACTCGATTTGACAAACCGGGGATAAGCAGGGGATGTGTGGATTTGCTTAGGATGCTGGGATTGAGTTCGCAGATGGAGGCAACATATAGGAAATAGTTTGAGCTTTGGGAAAGCCACTGAACATATTTAAAACCACACTTTATGGATCTTTTTTTTTCCAGTTTCGGAGGTTCTCGTTCAGTAAAATACAGGTATGGGCCCTTTTCCCTTGAAAATGAAATTTCAAGACTTGTGTGTGGTAAATATGGTAAACGAGGTTAAATCTCTTTACTCTTGGTTATTGCCCTTCACATGACAGGTTGAAATTATAATTTTGCTAAGCAAATTAGCCCATAGAGCGTGGGAAATGAATCCTGGAGGCATCTCCGTTTGCAATAAATCCCTCACTGCAACGAATTGGGGTTAGTCCCATATAGTTTACTGAATCAAGGTTGTACTATACTGCACCTTATTGTCTACATTCTAGGCAGGTTCAAGTATTCAGCAGTCTACCTAGCACCAGTCTGACTAGTTAATGACAATTCAAAAAGTTCCATCGATGAGTAATGTCAACCTGCCCAGATTGCACCAGATCTTAATGAGGTCAATATGATTTTACCTTAGGAATCAATTGAGTTGGATTGCTCAGAAATTAAAACTTACAATTACTATATAATGGTACTGTACTACCTTCAGCAGAATTTTTTTTTAATATAAAATATCAAAATGGTCAAATCATCAAGCTATATACTGTTAAAATTTCCCACAAACAACTCACTCTCATCAAAATACACAGAAATTTACTACATTACAAATAAATGCAACAGAGTAGTAGCTACCCTTTGTAATTTTCCATTCCTTTGTGTTCTGTGAGGTTCATCCAGGATGCACATAGTACGAGACATTACATCACGGATCACCTCGGCCACTTTATCAAAAGTCTTCTTCATGCCTTTATTTCTTAAAAGTTTCTCAACATACTTCCTGTAAAACAGACAGTTACTCAAAAAAACTGGGTTGTTTAAAAATGATAAACAAAATACTCCTGTAGTAATAATCAGTAACAAGTGCTGTATAAAAGTGCTAGCATTACGTGTGCACAAATCAACATATTATCATTTAGATTTACAAGTAAAATTATGTTTATACATTAGTAGCCAAGGAATTGATAAGGGTCCCAAATGGACTGAAAAACTTTCATTTAATTTCAGGTGTTGGTTGGGTTATTTGTCTAATTAGCAATATATACTTGTTTCTTAAACAATCAATTTCTACTACTACAATTCCAGATGTTATACATTCATACATCACCAAAATCTTGCATCTAAGCATAATTCAAAAGAAGTTGAAACTCTAGGCAGCCCTCTGGCTACATCTCTACCAGTCTTCTTTCTAGTAAGGGCTTTTATTCCATGTTCCTTTCTCACTTATTCGACCTATATATAACAAAAATAATTACCTGTAAGGATTGGCTTCCATGAAGATATCACTAAGGCAACGACGGAGTCCACCAGCTGGAGGAGCAGATGAATGGCCAGGAGGCAGCAGAAAGCCACTGTTGGTGCTAGTAGTTGTGTGTCCTGAGTCCGTCGAGTTATTTGAGTCAGATGGGTTAGAGCTCGCATCAGACTTATCACAGTCTACGACAAATCGAACAGAGGATGCCGACTTGGAAATGCACGTTTCTGTTTCTTGCACCGATTCCTCATATGGAGTTGCTAATGGTGCTCCAGAGTCATAACTGGATGTTGGAGTTATTGCACCAGTAAAGGAGGTACTAAATGTGGGCCACGGTATGAGGGTATTGGTCATGTTTCCAAGGAGCTTCCCGAGGACCTCAATTTTCATTCTTAACTGAACACTTGTATTGTACCATACACACAAAGCCTTGTATCTATTTACAAATTCTGGCTGTTCCCATTCTGGAAAATGCAGAGCTAATTTCTTTGTAGATGGGAAGAGAGACTCTACATAGTCAAGTTTCTTTAGCACTGCAGCAACTTGAACAAGGCCCTCGGTTTGTTTCTCCAGACATCCCTTACACCAAATGGAGAGACAGCCACTACAATCATCTTCCTCCCCTGCCACTCTACTAGCACCAACGCCATCAGCTGCCACATGAGTCAGTACAGCAACTCCCCCGATCCTCAGATCTCCTGTACTCACCAGTTCATCAACAGAGGTTATTTTCATTTCAGACTGGACTTCAGCATCTTCAAGATGTTTCTTTTTTTTATTGAAGTCAAAGTTGAAATTTAAAACTTCCTGTATTACACCATAAACCTGCAAATAATCACAAAATCCAAATTAATATTAAAGTAGGAATAAATGGTGAAAACGGCAAAAATACATAATGATACAAAACCAGCAAGGATCAAGTTCCTCAAGGAGATATGAATACAGAGGCATATTTAGTAAATACAAAATTTACATAGCATGTAACATAGCACAGACAAAAATTACCTCATGTCTTTGGGAAATCAACTGGGTATCAAAAGTGTTGGAATCTAAGCCAGCTTGCCATGCTTGAAGTTCCAACCATAGCATCTCGTACAGTTCCTGTTGGTAGAGCACCTCTTCCTCGCTCTGCTGGCAATATGACATACTGAATTTATGAGAAAAATTCATGAAATCCAATTTCCATCTACTTATCAGCCCAACATCTTACATCTACAAATACAGTACATAAAATTTAATGACTCTGATCTATTATACCTTCATTATAAAATACCAACTACTGGAACTATATGTTCCAGTAGTTGGAACATATAAACTATATATAAACTACTGGAACTATATGTGCTGCACAAGGATAACATACCTGACGCTGGTTAAATACAATTTCCTGAGTGCCAGGTTTGACTAGACTCTGTAAATGAGCGAAGTATTGAACACGATCTTGAGGTAATTCCGCAGTAGAGATTTTACGTTTATCAGTTTGATCAGATTCAATCCCATCTTCACATTTTCGGCAAGACACACTCATGTACCGTGATCTTGAATCAACCTGAACAATATATAAAACTAAGAATTAATTGACCCTTTCATTTATAGTACAGTCAGAAAGTGGTCGAGTTGCACAAAAATACATTTATAATAAAAGAACTGCAAGATCAAATTATAATAGCAAAAACAAGAAAAGTTAAATCACTGGCAAAAAAGTCACAAGAGGAAGAATATAATGAAAAATAATAATAAGCATATACCTTTAGGCATGTAGGAAAGCTGATGTGTGCGCCTACATTACAAATGACAAGCATACTGCTTTTCCTGATAATTTATTACTTTTCTAACGTCAAAATCTGCATTACTAGAAATATATAAATAATGCACTATGAACAATCATTTCCATAATGAGAAGGAAGATATAACTAAACATTATGTATATCTTTACATTTGTTTATAATAAGGAGAAAACCAGGTGGAGCACCCACCACTGCCAAGACAACAGCCCGACTCCTACCTGTTTTCCATGATAAATTATTATTTCTTAGGCTTTTATAATGTCAAGATTAATATTTTAAATAAAGTCTACATATGAGGTGATGAGCAGACAGCTACAATCTTTTGTTCTACTTGATTGAAAGTGCAACATGCTTGTACACATATTACTTCTTGAAGCACTTGCCAAAGTATTCTTTGTTATTAGGGGAAGTACCCTAAGGATCACAATAATGTTCCTGGCAAATAAACACTAGGCAGAGAGTAAGCACTCTCACTTGACTTGTTGGAGTCAAGACACATCATCGTAGTGGCATGAGGAAATCACATTACAAAATAAACCAAGAGACTCCCCAACCCCCTACTCTTAAATTGCACTTTATCTGATCTGGTAAGCTCAGGAACTTGAATAATGCAGGATTAGATACAATATGATTTACTGTTTCAAATGTGCTTATTTCTAATATTGATACATTAAAAGAAAGTAGTGGTAATGGTGATGGTAATGATTGAAGATGATTATCACAAATATCTTAATTGATCTATGATGGATGATGATGATGAGCTAGTCCTCATGATGCTAGAAATAACAATTATGAAATCTTGACATGAATCAGTCAAACAGACATGGAAATATTCCTATCTTTAACTATCCAATAAACAAACTATACACCACACACTTCTTTTATGTAACATCAATGTAGCTTAAAGAATCACCAATGACTTATTTACATGTACAGTATAGTACAGTACAGTACATTTAATTTTATTTTTTTTACGCGTATAACCTACATCTATTCAAAATCTTAAATTTGCAGCACAGCAAAAAACACTTTTTTATGAAAAGCAATAGAAATGCAAGATGAAAAAAAGGGCCATGTACGGAAGCACACCAAGTTAGAAGCAAAAAACATAAAAAATAAGGCAGAATTTTAACAGCAGCATTTTTTTAAGTATACAGCAAGTAACTAGGTGACCACCAAGTGGATCAGTTATGTCAATATGGCTGAAGCGAAGAACTGCCAAGGGATGAAAGGACAAATGTTGTCTTTGCCTCTCCAGCACCGATATTCAATGGCAACCGAGGCAAGTCACTAATACCTTTAAACGAAGAGTGGACACCACAGTATACTCAACCACGTGACCAGAAACAGTCTGACAGCAATCCACAGTATTTAGGCATGTTGTAACCTACAAAATTTGTATACAATTCTGTAAGTTTGGTCAGTAAAGCAAAATGATATAGAAGCATGAGACTAGTTCCCAAGAAGGAGCAAGCCTAATCATTGATGCTGGTCTTGAACAAAACGGAATGAAATTAGTTTTAAACAGCCCATACATGCTTTACTTTGATAGGAACAAGGATGGGGGGGAATTATTGGTGGCCACAATTATGAAAATCATCCATGGTATATTATATTACAGTGCATATTATTATATATATATATTTATATATATATACAGTGGAACCTCGATTAACGAGTGGCTCTATTAACGAGTTTTTCCAGTAACGAGCATGCCACTCGCAGCAAATTTGTCTCTATTGACGAGCTCGCCTCTATTAACGAGCAAAACCACGTGGTGCTTCCTAGCATCTCGCGGGTTCTCGCAAATTCTCGGACGCCTCCGACACCAGAGTAGTTGTTGTAGCGCACTTGACAAGCATCCCTCTGGATTTATTTGAGCTTTTCTTTGGGTTTTTAGTGGTTTTGCGACTACAATTTGTAACACACGATATCTCCAAAGAAGCTGCTTGCTAAAGATAGTGTTGTCAAGAGGAAGAAAGACACAATTACTGAGGATTTGAAGAAGGAAATTTTAGCAAAGCATGAGTGTGGTGTCTGTGTGACTGATCTCACAAGGGAGTATGGCAGGTCCTCATCAACAATTTACACCATTAGTAAGGGAATGAGGAGGTAAGGGAGGATGCTGCCTCTACACTGAGATCAGGGAAGTGTTTGGAATGTTTGAAAAGGTGAACGCATTCTTGGAAAAGCTGCCCTGATAAAGCAGTGACAACCCGGTGTGTGAAAATGTTTTAATTAATTTATCACTTTGTGATAACACTTTATGAAAGTGTTATCACTTTCGCAGGCATATGTCGCTTGAACGTGACACACTTTTTTCTCTTGAATGCACCCAAACACCACGCTCAAGCATCAGTTGAGCAAATATTTCTATAAAATCCAGTTCTTATCCGATCGACTTGGGGGATTGTATACATGTTTGCCATGAAATTTTCGTTTTCTTTAATAACCACATTGCCTATTTGAGAAAACGGCATTGTATTGTATCTTCGTGGTAAGACTATTATATTGTTGACGCAACGAGTGTAATCGACGTAGTTTTTTATTTGGTGCTGGTCTAACACATCCTTGTGTGACATTTGAAATGAAATTTGGGTGAAATTCCCAAGAAGAGAGAGTCCGCCTGACTCAGAGGTGGATTCTCCTTCCACACCATAACCCCTCTCCTCCTTCCCACCTCCCCATCGTCTCCCTCAATCCAGCAATAACTCTTCAAAAGGTAAAGTAAATATTAAAACACTACAACAAAACATTTATATTTACATGTGCAGTATTATATTTACATAACAAAAAGTCATACAAGTATGGATGTTTTTGGGAGTGGAACGGATTAAATTTATTTCCTTTATATTAAATGGGGAAATTTGTTTCTTAAGATGAGTTTTCCAGGTAACGAGCTCGGTGCCAGAACGGATTAAACTCGTTAATAGAGGTTCCACTGTATATATATTATATTATATATGTGATTGTTTAAGATGGTCATTAGCTTAGGAGGAAAATATAAAATTAATATATATACAGTAGTACCTGTATAAAGTTCCTAGCCACTTACCTCCTACTGCACTTCCTGTCTTCTGTTCAGTGATCTCTCTTTAAAATTAATCAGCTTAAAATAAAACCATTCTCCTAATTAGTTTTTGCTCGCGGCCTATAGTACAAAATACAAACTGTTTTGAAGCATAAATTATCCATATTTTGTATTAAGGCAATTGTTGTTGTGTGTATCATTCTATCTTGGCAAGAGAAGGGTTAATTAATACCAATTGAAAGATTACTGTCTAGTATCTCAGTTCTGTTCTTCACAAATCTAATCTGTAGGACTCAAGGCCATTTATATATTCCCTCTATACGTAATTCAAACAATATGCTTAAAAGAATGCAAGACTAATGAGAAGCAGAAAATAGAACATACTACATTGAGGAAGTAATAGTCAAGTAGTGGCTATTATGGACAATTTGTATTATTTAATCCCTCTTCACAAGATTTATTATGTCAGGAAAGGAAAATTAATATATACAATTTTAATGGCATTTATACAATACAGTAATGTACTGTAACAATAAGATCACTTTCTCAAGATTCAGTAACATCTTGAGAAATTCTCTCTCTCTACATCTACATAACTGCCAAGGATGATACCTTAACTGCTGGTGACAAAGGCGGAAGACTCTCACATCGTTCATCAGAATCCGAGGTCGTGAGATTGTTCATTAAATTTGTCAGATTTTCTAAAGTTGACTGTTTATGCTCCCTGTCTTGAGAACGCACTCGGTCCATAGAACGCTTACGTTCTCGATACTGTTGTCGTGTTCTTTCAGGGGCTGATGAAAAAATGCCTGTGTAAGTCTCAAACTCTACACATCATATAATTACTGTAATAATATATGACTTGACTACCCACAGCCTCAAAATTTAGTAAATGAACAGAGTATGTACTTTCTTTGAATTATTGTATATATTTTCATAATTGTATAAATTTTTATAATTTCATATACAGTATTTAATAGCATATAACACTACTAATGAACTAGTAATGAACCCAACAGTTTAGTGGAAAAACATGTAATTTATGGATGACTGATATACAAAAGCAATAATTCAATTAAAATATATAATACTTATTTCTTAAGCATTATGTTTTTGAAAGGCAAAGCATCTTTAAAACCAAAATATTTACCAAATATGATTGACTAATGATAATTTGGGGAATACTGTATTCTCATATTTTATACACTGCACCTAGAGGGGCCATGTTATACTGTACCCAGGAAAGCTGCTATACTGTGCAGTACTTGATAAGGATGTAACAGTGTTATTAACTCTATTTACAAAGCATAAAATATTCAAATGACTAAACGTATGGCAAATTTAATCTAAACAAAATACAAGACACCTGTTACATGGTCACTTACAGCTGCACATGCTAATTGCTCCTCTCTGAATAACTGCAACAGGAAAATCCATGTATTTATCTTTAACTTACAAGTACTGAACAACCTACTTTTATCATCAAATTTATTGAAATTAGATAAAAACCTAAAAGTGTAATAGGCAGCACTCACCATTTTCAGGTATTACATGATCCGAGAAGCCAGGGAGAGAAAGAAATCTCTCCGCAGTGTTGCGACGTTTCAAAGTTGCTTTTATTGTTTTTGCTGCTTCTTTGGCTTGTGAACTATAAAATAAAAATTATAAATAAAGTACATTACAGTACAGTATATTAAAATATGACAGCAAATATACAAATTTTCTTACAAAAATATTTAATATATAAACTGTGGGACATTCCTACCACCTCCAGCCCAAACCTCACAGTAGTCTCTCCAAAACATCAACCAAAAGTTACAATACCCTCGAAGTACATAAGAAAGGACATGAGGGCAAGAAAGACCTACAGCCAGTAGACTATGATGGATACCTAGATGTTAGAAGGGTTGAACCGACATAGGGTCCTAGGCTGAAATGGAGGGAAGCGAGATAAAAGAGAAAACACTGGAAAAAAAGTGAGAATGTGATAAATGCCAAAACGTTAAAGTTTCAAAGCATCATGTTACAAAGAGCACTGGAAAGACGGGACACCACAAGCATAACTCTAATCCTTTAACTACACTTAGGTAATTAGCTGGGAATTTACTTGACCAATGTACAAGTAGACTATTGCCATTTGCAGCTTACAATCACATAGGATATATTTTTATTCCAGTAATATAAAATACATTATCCTGACATTTCTGTAGTAAAATATATTCTTGCTTACCAATACGCATCCCTCTCCTTCTGACGCCTTTGTCGGGCAGTGCGTGGGGGGGTTTTCCCAAATTCTTTTAAGTAATGTGCCAACTCCTCCTCTTCCTGTGTGAAGGAATCAAAGCTCTCAAGTCTTTCGACATCTTCTTGTGCAACCAATTCATCACTGGTGCTACTGTTTCTTCTGTGAAATTTATACATACATGTATTAATGCTATGGTACCCTCTTAATTAACACACTAAGCATCAAATAGCTAGATTTTTAACTGAACAAAATTGTGAGTAAATACGGTAGGTATATACAGTACTGTAATGAACACTTCCATCTTTAGATACTCCCTCAATATTTAAATTAACTAAACATGCTTACCGGTATTTACTGTAGCCTATGCATACTGATTAGCCTTAATATTATTGACAAATACTGTACAGCAGTGAACTCTTTTCGTCAAATCTAACACATATTCAAGAATTATAAAAATATTTAATCGAAGATGACAAATTATACAGTCTTAGTTAAATTCCTAAAATAGTTAGGATTTGTTAAAACATCAAATATTTGAATACTGCACTATAATTGAAAACCTGAATAATCAAATAAAAGATCGTGAGACAACGCTCTGAACAAAAATTCACTCTGATATTTAATCCTGAATGTACAATCATCACTTATGCTCACAGACCACTGAAATTAGTCTCACAAGAATGACAGCAATGGAGTGGGTTGCAAGACACTCCCTCTGAACAGTGTCAGGAATGTTTACATGTAACAGGAATGTAGGCTTCCTATCCCAACTATGCAAAACCAAAATGTAAAACATTACATTGTAGGCCTATACACAATACTCAGTCACTGTTTTTATCAAATATGTGTACATGAACTCTGATATTCAACACAAACACTGCATTGTGTAAGCTAATAAGTGAAACAACAAACATAAAAGCCTCCAAAGTGACGATACAAGTCCTCCCATCCCGCATCACGGCCCCATCCTTCCCCATCAACCCATCTTCCTTCATCTCACCAAACCAGAAATAAGATGCATATATTTGTCTTGTTTATTTTGCCTTGCCTTACTTTTAGCATGAAATGAACAGATTGGATAGGAATATGGGCGAGAGAGTCGACTTAAATAAGATTTGCCTAGTATAGGCTAACGGGTTCCCTGAATGTTATGTACAGTACTTAACATTATGCAGGCCAGCATACATAATTGTCAAGTAAAGGATTGAGTAGATAATTACTCACAATTAGTATATGCTCTGTGATAACCTTAAAATAATAATTGCCACCTAATGAAATAACAATAATTAAATAACTTCTTGGAAGCACACAAGTCCTTAAAAACCTGTCTCCAAGTAATTTTAAACTAAGGACATTTATGAGCCTTGAAGATTATCATTTTGGGTCCATTTAGGATAAGAAATACTTATAAGTCTTGTAAGTATCAAAAGACGTAATGACAAGTGTGAGGAAGTTCTCACTTGAAACTGGAGGAGGAGGTCCTCTTGGCCACGACCTTGCTGGGGCTTGACACTTCCTCCTCGATGTCAGAGTCCGACAGCTCTATTTGGAAGTCTATTCCAAGTCTCTCCCTCCAGCCGTCGTCATCCTCTTTGGACATAGTGGTGTGAGGTGTGGCGTCACATGACAGAGGTCCCCGGGGTGTGTGTGGAGGGTGGAGGCCAGGTCCTGGAGGGTACTGGAGGGTCCTGGAGGCCACAGTTATCTGCCTCCCTCCACCAAGGTAAACAAACTGGCCAGCAGCCTCTCACAACCTCCTCTTAACCCTTCCATATAACTTATGTATCTAGAACATATAATGTATAACTAACTAGCTAAAATTAAATTGTATAACTAAATAAATGTATATTTATAACTAATTAATGTATAACTAAAATGTATAACTGTAAAATGTATAACTATAACTAAAATGTATAACAGCATTTACCTACATTTTCACCTTTCTTGGGACAATCACCCTTATTTTGAAAGTTTTAATAAAGTTTAAGTGTGCATATTAAGGGGTTTATTTTTGGTTTAAGGAATTAGGTGTAACTTAATTTATCTTGTAGTTTTGAGGCATCTCATGTATAACCTCCTCTGGCAAATTGTATAAAATATTCAGTAAAAATACAGTACGTAATGTTGCAACAAAATCCAATTTAACTGTTGTGGCTTTGCATCTTAAAATGATACGAATTGAACCACAATAGGAAAAGTTCATCCCTTGTCATTATAATATTTTCCGTGTTGCATTTTTTTTTTTTATATTTGTTTACACCAGACACCTGACTCCCTCCCCGGGGGGGCCGGGGCCGGCTTGATGAAGGAGTTACGCAACATCTTACGGGTCTTTTCGTTCTTATCACCGTGGTGGCGGCTTTTCCTTGGTGATTTAGGAAGGTATAGATGTTGGCTGGTCATGGTAAGATGGCCACAGTTAAGGTGTCGTGGTGGTGGAATACACGACGAGGTCATCCAACATGACCTCGGGCGACGACCGGTCCAGGACCAGTTCTGTTCTGACCCCAATATATATTCTGTCTCTACAGAGGTCACGACCTCTCCGTAGGATGCAGTTGCACCTCCAAAAATCTCCAGTATCAGCTAATGATACTGGTAATGGCTCCAAGGGGCCACCACTTACGGGCTATTCATGCCCGTGCCACCTTTTGGGTGGCGCTTAATCTTCATCAGTCAATCAATCTGTCTATGTCGCTAACTTTTATTAAATGTGTAGTCTATGACAAAAGTATAACAATTGCCAAAGCAATCTATTGTATAAATAATTTATACTTTGATATTAACTGCTGTTCATTTGGGTTAAGAGAAGCCGAAAGTCAATGTGCTTTTCTGACATGCCAGATTTATTTGCTAATGAAAACAGTTTGCCCATAATTAAAGTTGTAAAGTATTTTAGTAATTAGATGCCTATATATTAAATTATTCATGGTAAATTAAATACTGAAGACAGCCAATGAATTTGATTGAGAATAAGTCTTGCCTAACTGTTTTAATATGTGATGCAAATATTATTTATACTTTCAAATTGCTTACTCATATAATGCTACATAGTCTCCCTGGCTTGGTGCCTTCTTTTGATAATTACTTACTCATATAATGTGGGAAATGTCAACTAATTCATTATAAAGCCTTGCCTAACCTTGCCAAGTACATTATTTCTGTATTGAAGTCCATATTTTAATGTGGGGCAACACTTACCTGTAACCATTCAATTGATTTTAGTAACTTAATCGGTTAAATCTTATGCTGTTACATTTTCATCTAAAAAAATAAGTCGTGTAAGAATATTCTTGGGTACTTGACATTGTTATATTTGGTATAGGGCCCTTTCCACCACCGCCCACGGGATGGGTACATAATAAAGAAAGAAATTGAATTTGGTATATGTAAATCTCATCTTTCCTATTTTATATATCTCAATAATTGTCTTTATTTGCCAAAACATGTCTGCTATTTCAAGGCTTGTTAGTGTATTTAGTCCTTTCTTAAGAAAAAAATGCTTTAGAATAAGCTATTGTATGTATAACTAAGAAAGGCAACTTACTATTAAGTGTCTCAGGTGTTTTGTAATGTTTCTATTAGTGTCATTATGATTCTAACAATTGCTCCTGTTTACATTTTTTTATTCAGTATCATATCATATATATATATATATATGAGCACTAAAAATGTTTATATAATTCATAATTATAATAGGCAATACTGTATTACTTTATGTAATTTTTTCCTTGTATGGTTAGGAACTTGTAAAGAAGGTAAGTTATATTTATTTTATTTATTCTTTTACTTATTTATATATACAAGAGTTGTTACATTCTTGTACAGCCACTAGTACGCGTAGCGTTTCGGGCAAGTCCTTAATCCTATGTTCCCTGGAATACGACCCTGCGAAAAATCGTTTAACAACCAGGTACCCATTTTACTGTTCGAGTTAAACAGAGGCTACAGCTAAGTATTTGCGCCCAGTAAATCCTCCCCGGCCTAAACCAGAATACAAAACCAGGACAAAGCGCTCGCGAAATGCCAGGCGAGCGTCTTAACCACTACACCACGGGGACTGGTTATATAGAGGTACAACCAGAGATGGTTGGTACAACCGGTATAAACCAACCATTTATAAATACGTAAAGTTGAAGAATGATTAAATAGTTAATTTATCAATTAAAATGCAAAGTAAAATTTAGTACTGTTTCAAATACTTGAAATTGTTTATGGATGATGTATTTTAGTTTTTAATTTTCTAGGCCTTTTTTTTATGAACAAGCTTAGGTATACATAGCAATGTGCTGCACCCGATTCTATATGAAAGACTACAGAGTGCAGATCAAAAGCTAGGTAGAAGTTCATCTACTATCTTGCATCTGACAGGATGGTTAGTCATACATGGAATCAGGAGAGAACATGAAATGCAAAGGTTATCTATTAGCACTAGCAAATTCTGGGTACAGCACAAAAATATCTTCCAATATTCGTGAGTGTATGAAGTAGTTACAGATCTCAAAGTACATCATACCTGAAAATCCTTGATTACAGGGAAATTGCAGGTACTGTACTGTTGTGTTGGAGTTTGTCCTAGCTCTTGTTTACATAGTTTACAATTAGAATGTTCACCATTGGGGAATTCATTACCTACAGACACCTGCCATAGATCTCGATATCCCAGCCTAATTCTTGCAATTACAATGTCACACAATCTAGTGGATGTTTTGTGCTGCCTGTACATATAGTTCTCAGTTCTAAACACATCATAGCTCTATACTCTTCCTTTCTGGCCTTTAAGTGTCACTGACTGCTCTTCTGCCATCCCTAAATTCCTGAAATACTACAAGGCTTACCTAACCAATGACCATTCAATAGGATCAACTTTGATAAAAAGTTGCAAATATATTGATAATTAAACACAGGATAAATTGATTTATTCTGGCATTCTCTTACCATATTAAAACCTCTAAATAATCATTTATTTTGTCACCATCACTTCCATCTTGATTTGTTTGGGACTGAACTTGCCTATGAACTAGAGTAGAGTTCCAAGTTGGTCGACTTTTGTATCATCGTAGCCGAGTCGGTTAAGGCAGGCATCTGGGAATTGCCAGATTGCAGGTTCAAGTTACTCCATTGCCTCAAAATGATTTTCACTAAGATCTATGGTAAAGTAGGAAGCATAAATTGTATTTCAGTCTTAAAAAGAGATCTACATGAATTTCATAAATGATTGGAAGATTGGCAAATGCATTTTAATATTGGAAAATGCAAGACCTTGGATGTGAAGCATAACAATGTGCCTACTTATATTGTGGATATAAATAGGAGCTGCTGCCTATATATCCTTAAAAACTGATTTATGAATGGCCTACTGACCGATACAAGGCAGCAGCTCTTTATATCCATGATATTAAAAGGAGCTTGACAGTTCCTGCGATGGCGCTGGAACCAATCGTATTGGCGTTTGCCTTTCCATTGGAGACTTTTGGTGCTGTGGAGAGGGGGGACCTGCTGCATGGGTGACAGTTTCTCCTCCGTATCAACCTACCCTGGCTTTGCACCCTGGAGTGGCCCAGAGCACAATTCCATAGTCTCCCAAGACTGATGGATGCCTACTAGATAAGAGCTTCCACATGTGAGCCAATTGGCCTTCTGTAGCTCCTTTATTATAATAATAATAATAATTTAATGTCAGGGGGACAGGAAGCCAGAGTATATTCATACACATGAGGCTGTATTAAGGTCCCCTCCCACCCCCCTCGGGCGAATTGCTGACTAACTCCTGAGTACCTACTTACTGCTACGTGAAGAGAGGTGAAATGAAATGTGCCCAAGCATTTGTCCTGCCAGAGATTCGAATCTGGAATTCTCGATTGAGCATCAAGAACGAACCCGACTACTAATGGGACCTTCACTGTTATGTTCAAACGATGATTGGTTGATCTGGTTGATCTTTACAACTGTACGGAGTTGTGAAAACCATATGAGCATAGTATACTACACATATAATGTAATTATGATAGAATTCGATACCATGATTATTGAATTGGATAGTAGCATTTGTGATAACTGCATTACCATAGTATGCAATCATGAGTTGATAGCAGGATTTTTTTCATGGTCAAGGTAAACTTCACTACATCCATATTGGTGCATCTTGGCTTCATTGTGTAAAACCCATACAATACAGTTGAAATGTATGATACTGTAATGGCATTACCCAGGATGACAGCAACTGCACTTTACCGGTTAAACTTAAAAAAAAAGGTAATTTTTAATAAAACAAATATTTTAATAATGTTTTAATTATTTAACAAGATCTATAAATATGATCTTATATACATGTGAGTATATGACATTTATCTTTTAGTTATCCATAGTTAAACAAATAATAATGGACAGACTTTGTGAAGACTAATGCTATTATTCATAATGAGTCACACACCTGGTACAGGCTAGTAACAAAATTGCACATTTTGCTCCTATTAGTGTTGCAATCATTTTGAAAAGTATATTTTAAGACTTAACAGTAATTTTTGAGACAAGGCAAATAAAGTACAATACTCTTTTGTTGACTAAATAGACAGCAGGAACTTAAGAAGTTGAAGTACTTATGGTAGAAAAAAAGAATTTATAAAATTCTTAGTACTATTGTACAAAATAATTCTCATAAATTATTGACTATACCTTAAAAATCTTGTGCAGAACAATTTAATATAATCAGTCGCTGATATCAATTTATATGATGCATTCTCCAGAGCATTTATGATCTTGACTTAATTATAGCTACCTAAATTGTTGACTATATCACTAGTCTTCAAGATTGCCATTTATAATCACTATGAATGTTCCACCTAATTCTAATAAAAAATTCTGTACATGGAAGTATTTACATTAATGTGTAGAAAAATACAGATATATTTACAACATACATTTCAACAACACTGAATATTACATGTGTTGGCTATTGAAAAAATATAAAAACTTAACTCGTTAAGCTTTTCCACTGAGCAAGATAATGAGGTAAGCTTATGCAAACCGGTTAATGGTATTATGAAGTCAAGCTTAAGTAATCTATAAACTAATTTTGTTATTCCTACACATAGCAGAATTATGATTGGATCTATTACAAACTTTGCATCAGTGGGTGCAGTGATGAGTAGCAATGGCTATATCAGAGCAAAAAGCAATAATGAATACTTTCTGTAAATTCTTTTTTATACATATATATTTAATTTGATAAAAATACTGTTATACAGTTTAAGGCATAATATATGCTACTAAATTTCACATTTATCTTTAGAGATGAACTTATTCAGAAACAGAACTTAGGACACTATTAAATTACAATCAACAATCCATTCACATATCACTCATAGATAAATGAATACAGTGATGGCATTTTTTCTAATTTATTGTATGTATATCTATTATATATATATATTTAAGTACATATATGTCCATGTATTACCAAAGGAAACACAGCATCAAAGAACGTACATATGTACACGTGTGTGTGTGTGTGTGTAATTACCCAAGTGTAGTTACAGGATGAGAGCTATGCTTGTGGTGTCCTGTCTTCCCAGCACTTTGTCATATAATGCTTTGAAACTACTGACAGTTTTGGCCTCCACCACCTTCTCGCTAACTTGTTCCAACCGTCTACCACTGTGTTTGCGGTAGTGGTGCGCAAGAGGTGCGACCTCTTGTTCTTGAAGTTCCATGTCTCAGGAATTCTTCCCAATCAATTTTGTTGATTCCTGTTACTATTTTGTACATAGTGATCATTTTGCCTCTTTTTTTTTTTTTCTTTATCTTTTAGTTTTGGCATACTTAATGCCTCTAAACTCTCCTCATAGCTCTTGTCTTTCAGATCTGGGAGGTAACTAGTTGCATGTCCTTGCACTTTTTCCAGTTTGTTGATGCACTTCTTAAGGTATGAGCACCACACAACTGCTGCATATTCATCTTTGGTCTCACAAAGGTCATGAACAATTTCTTTAGTAATTATTTCAAAGCAATTCTGAAATTGGAAAGTGTAGCATAGGTTCTTCACTTAATGTACTTTGTGTGTGTGTGTATATGTGTGTGTATGTGTATATGTGTGTGTATGTAGTATGAATGTGCATGTTTAATTAATGTTAACAAATAAACTTTAAATCTTTATTAATTTAAAGATTTTTAATAGTTCTGTCAGTTATTTATATAATTCCTCACCTATTACATTAATTCCATAAACAAAATATAAAGGATATATCTATAAATAAATCACTACACAACAACACAGACTCATTCAACCATGGTCCCACTAAATTTTGTTTTCTTGTTAAGACTAGACACTGAAATAAAATATTACAAGAAATCATTAACATTTCATGTAAAGCTACTAAAACAGCCGTGACCAACACCCTCACATTTAAGCAATAAATATCACTAATCCCAAAATAATGCTTGAGTATGTAATAGCAAATAATGGCCTGTGCATTTTCTCATTTGATATTGTGTAAACTTTTATCCATCTTTCATAAGCTGTACTGGAGTTCAGCCTACCAACAGTAACTAGGATTGTACCCCTTATCATTAATCCAGACTTTCATTTTGCCAATTTTTAAGACAAAAAATATTCTTTTGATTAGCACATATAATAGACAACAACATTTATATCTAACACAAATTTGTAATAAATCCCAGTTTTAAACAAAATTACCCAAATACTCATAAGGCCTTCAGATAACTTAAAAAAAAAATATGATTATTTGATACATGTTCCAAATATTTTAAATGGCCTTTAGATATTCCAGACTACTATCCAGGTTGGTTTTCCTTTGGTTAACCTGGACTTTCAGATGATTCTGTTTCAGATAACCAGGACTCTGTACAGTACAGACACCTCGCTCCAACGAATAACACTACAGTAAATCAAACTCCTGTAATGTATGAACGTTTGTCTTTAGCTCAAATTGCTGCTCGTTATAACAAAAAATGTTGTATTTATGAGGATTGTTTGCAGCTCAAATTGCTCGTTGTAACAAAAAATGTTGTATTTATGAGGATTGTTTGCATAAGTTGTTGTAGTGACAACCCATCAGGACACATCCAAGTAATCAGCTGTCCTATTCTATATGGAACCTACAATAAATACTGCATCGAAATTTTAAAAAATCAGCTCCACCCCGTATAAAGTAGTTTAAGTGAGGTCCCACTGGTACCTAATTTCACAATAAATAACAGACAAATTTTGCTGATTACTGTTCTAACAGTATTATGCATACTGTACTATGAATTTTGAGTGCCAAACCAAATAAATACAGATTATTTTCAAGTACTTAAATGTCTCTAATCTTGAAGACTGATGTAAAGATCACACTATCAGAAGTTAGGTTATTAAATTCATTAAGCGGTCATCAGCTGTTTCTTTGGCAGAAATATGAATATTTTTGAAATGAGATAATTTATCCTTTATAAGAGTACACAAAAACAGAAAAAAGTGAATATGAAAGATGAAAATTAGGAAAGACAATAAAATAATGCTGAACAAGATAAAATAAAGTTGATAAATTATACTTCTTTATCTTCAACATTTGGGTATATAACCCAACTAGTGTTCCTATTATTTACTTGTCAGTATGGTTTCTCGAATCCAATACATTATGAGTTTACTGAGGACTTGTAAAAGACAACATGTAAATTAGCATGAGAAATGTCAGTGATGTCTTGTAAAACACATTATAGATGAGCTGTATGTCTAAAACAACCTATGAAGAACATCATAAACATAGATACAATTCAAGGAAAAGGCATAAAATATACATCAGTAAAAAATAATTATACAGTAATATAAAGGAATAAAAATACAAGAGAAAACATTACTACAGAACTTGAGGACGGATTCACATTTCTCCTGTTAAGTCTTGACGAGTTTTGTCACCGACAAACTCCGAGATAAAATGGCACTAGGTATAAAAACATTTTCATCATTCTTTACGAAGTGGGTGTATCCAGCATTGTCTTTAGGCATCACATGCACAAGTCGAGCAAAATTATCATCTCATGTACGTATCCGTAGAATAACGCACCCGTGTCGCCACATATGAGGCATATACGTACTCGGCGAGTGTAGTGTGTCATTATTATAACATTTCAATATTTAAAGAGGTAGAAATATTTCTTAGAAACAACATTTTTTAGGTGAAATTTCTTACGTGCACCAGCAAAACAACAAGCATTAAATAATATATAATTTTTAATATCAGATTGTCATGTCTACTGGTAATGTTGAGTATTTACAATTATTATAATTTGCTTTCCGTATATCTCTTCTCAAGATTAACCAATAACACAACCTTATCTAAGAAATGTCAGTCACACAATCTACCACTCTCATAAGCATAAACAAGTTGTCAGATGACAATGTCTGCTTTATCCAAAAAGAGTTTATAAGTTCCTCTGGAAATTCATTTCTTAAACAAATTTCTCAGGAAGTAGATTGTGGTTGTTATTTTAAATCTAAACTTGCATAGGCTGGTAATGGTTGCAGCCCATAAGCCTCCTGTCACATGCCCGATTCTGCTATCCCCTCATCATCTGCAAGAGGGAATGAAAAATCAGATATATAATAATTATAATTATTTTATAATACATAATTAAATATCTTGAATGATAATGAACATTAGCCACATTCATAAATATAAATTTCAGCATTAATCTGATGTAATTGTTTTATGATTGGAAAACTTAAGACTACACTGAAATATGTGAAATCCCAAGCTTGTTACAGACTGTTACATTAGAACACTAAAGGCAATAACGTACTGATCACTAAAATATTCTCTCAAATCACACTAAAATGTGTTCGAAGTATATAAACACTGCCTAAATGCTCACATTTTAGTACTGTATAATACAGTAATCCTTAGCAAATCAAGAAGTATCATTCAAAGCAAGAAAGGTCTACTAAATGTGCTTTATATATAGATATTAAAAGATACAGTAATCAGCTTAAACCAAAGCAATAACAGTAATTATTCATTATCACTTGTCAACACCGGAACCAATTAACACATTTCTTTTGAGATTATAATACAAATTATTTCCTACACGATTGTGCACAAGTATTAATTTTCAAAGTAAATACACGTATGATACAACATTGTGCATGCAAATTATTTCACACAAAGCAAAACATTATATACAAGAGTGCAATGACATTGTGGACAAAGAAGGGGTGCCAAACAAGGTCCCTCCAACAAAATGTTTCCATCCTAAGGCTGCCAGAGGACATCAGTGAATGGTGGTGGTGTTATATATATCTTGAGGTTATCTTGAGATGATTTCAGGGCTTTTTTAGTGTCCCCGCGGCCCGGTCCTCGACCAGGCCTCCACCCCCAGGAAGCAGCCCGTGACAGCTGACTAACACCCAGGTACCTATTTTACTGCTAGGTAACAGGGGCATAGGGTGAAAGAAACTCTGCCCATTGTTTCTCACTCGCGCCTGGTATTGAACCCAGGACCACAGGATCACAAGTCCAGCGTGCTGTCCGCTCGGCCAACCGGCTCCCTAAATATATATATAGACACTATATATATAGTGTCTGCCATTTGCTTAGAGCTAGCTGAATAAATGTTTATTCTAGCAAAGAATATGTGTATTTTGTGCAACTCCATTGCAACCTTTACACTGCCCTTCTACCGGGATATTATGAAAATTCAAGACATGTTTCACACATATTACAGTGAAGCCTTAAGGTATATTAGAGTTGTCAGTTTTACTATCCTGTATAAATTCCACATTATTTATATTTTTTAGTGAAAGAAAATACCTCTCCATATAATTTAACTACAGCAATATGATACTTCTGAATGATTAAATTTAATTAAAATAGTGACTATTGATATACTAAGGCATTATTAATCATATTAAAGAAGGTGAAGAAAAGTCCTAATATATGCATGAATGTATTAAAAACCTAATTTTCAGATATAACCTAATCTTTCTCAAGGTACTGTATACAGTACAATCTTCTGCACCAAATTCTGAGAATTTGGTTTTTAATACATTTATTCATATATTGGGGTCTTTCCTTTACCTTCATTTAAGCACTACAGCATTGTAGAATGTTTCTTCAATCATATTTACGTTATACAGTACTGTTCATAATGATTTCATTTATGATCTTGGTAAACATGAAGAAAGTTTAGTTGGGTTTGTCAATGCATTTCCAATTGAATGACAATTCAATTGAAACATTTCTCTTTGAATAGTGAACGGGCAGATTTTCTTTGGAAATTAATTATCAAAAATTATGTGTGCAAAAATAAAACATCCTATTTATGAATGTAATAAATATTGAGGGTTTTTATTATCGAGTATGAGTCCTTTGTCAACAATAAGGTAATACTTTAATACTAATGTTAGTGTGAAATGTTCACTCTGCATGTGTTCTGTAGTAATAAGCTTTGTGTTTATTATTTAAAATGCAAGTGCTCTATAAAGTCAAGTGTGTATTACATTGTCACTTAAATTATGCTCGATTCGTTATAAATATGAAACGTCAACATTTGATATGAACTTTGTTTATGCTACAAGTGATAGTATCACATGCAACTAATGTGCAAGAATCAGACTGTCTGCATCATCACTGTCCAACAAATGATTTTAATGCAAATCCTCTGGGATGCATTATTATCAATGTTATCCTAATGTGGGTACAATATTAGTATGGGATAACTGTAAACAACATTATTCACTAGGCTAGTAGAAAAAGTTTGTACATAGATGCTAATGATGTATTGGCAATAAGGGGTCTGCTATTCTGCTAGTCATGGAAACATTAAAAAGCCATACAGCATGCCAAATACCCAGATATGGCAGCAGCAGAGGAAAAGAGTATCATCTTTGCTTTGTTGCAACTCCACACATCACCATTCCATTGAGCTCTATGCTAGTGCAAGGAGCAGAGTTACAGATGAGAGAACAGATTTAGAAACATCTGACTGCACGAGAAAATAATTGGAGCAGGACGATGATGGAACCAAAATCCTGGCTAGCCCCAGATGCGTGGCTTAACTCGTGTGTCTTTGAACAAAGTGTTTGGTAGAGAACTCCATTACCTACACCAGTGTGCACATGGATTATGTGCGTAAACGTGGATTGACTACCAGTTGGGTGCCTTCAGAGTCCTAGTGGATCCGGGTGGATACCAGATTTAATAATCATTAGCATATGATGGTCCATGGGTTAAGGCATGTGTCTGGGGGTTACAATGATGCTGGTTCAGTCCCCATCCTGCCCCAATGAGTTTCTCAGATATATCACATTATTGTGATTTCCTTGTGTATCTGACTGAACACATGACATTTTGTCAAAAGTATATATATTACTGTATATGTTGTATAAATTTACTATAAAAACCTTTATTGTAATATAATAAATACAAATGTATATTCATAACTTATTAATATATTTTACATTATTTCAGCAAATGTACTGAACCACATATTCTTAATTTTGACACTCACCTTCAAATCCTTGATTATCATGAATTTCAGTGATGGAATGCTCATTTTCTCTTCCTTCTAGCACAGCTAAAAGGCATTGATGTATGCATATATATTGTTGCTCGGTTTGTACCATCCATACCCGTTCTCTTCGCATTTCATACACAATACCAAATATGTCCACATAATCACAGGTGCGAAGGCTAAATAAAATACGGTCCAAAGCAATGAAAGTTCCTGAGCGACCCACACCAGCACTGAAATTGGCAAATCCATGAAGATTACACAGGTTATAAATTTCAAATTAAATAAATACCAGTAGAAAATCACTTAACACCAATATCTCCAAAAACCTACACCTACAAACACCTACACCTGTTTGTACACCTACAAACCTAACAGTGTAGGTTTATAGGTGTACAAACCTACACTGCTAATGTTTACATCCATGACAATTTACACACCCATTTAAATATTAACAACACAGTAGTTTACCAATTACTATTAGTTTACTAATTACTTTAATAGTCACAGCCAACCTAGACAATAAGTTTAGTTATATTATGGCACAGTTCAAATAGGTCAGCCTACAATATCATATTTTACACACACATATTTTAACCCTAGTGTCCAAAACACACTGGCATTCTGACACTTTATTTTGATTACACTGTATAAGGTTCATGTAAAATATTTCTTACCTGCAGTGCACAACAATGGGTTTTTGATCTGGGCCAACCCGCTCCCGAAATGATCTAACAAATCTAACTAGTGTTTGTGGTGGCTCTGGAACACCAAAATCTGGCCAGGTTGTGAAGTGGAAATGGCGCACAACACGGCATATATCTCCCTAGAAAAATAAACATGTATTAGAATTTTGAGTCTGGAAATTATAGTAAATTGTAAAGTGTGTTTTATACAAATATGTTTTCTTCTTCTGGCTGAAGACTTTTTTGCCATTTCCATCCTATAATGATTAATGGTAGATATGGAAACTCCATTCTTTTCCATTATTATAAATGTAAAAGTATTAAACAAGAAAACAACAGATCAATAAGTAAAGACCAAAAATCAATGTTGAGTAAAAAATAAAAATTGTGTTTACAATACTCTGACTAAAATACTGTACTTAAAATTCCTAATTCAGTATGCTTATTTGTTATATTTATGATATTACATACCTTGGGCCAATTTGATGATCATATTTACTACTGCAGTTGTACCTGTTGTATGGGTAACAGCTTCTACCCCGTATCAACCTACCCTGGCTTTGCGCCCTGGAGAGGCCACTTCAGACCGACAACCAGAGCGCAACTCCATAGTCTCCTGAGACTGATGGATGCCTACTACTACTACTGTATCAATAATGATGCTATATGTTGTGGAAATATATAAAAACATGGCTGTATGTTACTTTGACCACATTTTCTAATAGAAATACTCAACAAAATGGGTTATTTTACATTTTTTAATGACAGCAGGAATGAGCACACATTTTTCTTACAAGAAAATAATAAAAAGATATAAGAAATTTCAAAAGTTAGTTTTATGGTTGTATTTTGACCCTTAATAAGTATGTGGCCAAAAAACTGGAATCAAAGCCAAAGGATTAAGAAAGGGATGGAAGCACAAAGGTATGCACACAGCATAGCTCAATGGTACTTGAGGACAGTAGTTTATCCCCTGTACCTTCTACCCTCTGCCCTCCTCCCAGTACAGTTAAGTAAGCAACTATCAAGAGGCACAGAACAAGAAAAGTAAAATTATCAACAATACGTTCTGTAGTTAAACAATAATCGTGATATATATATACACGAAGGTCTTACTGATGTAATTTGAAATTAATCCAATGAAAACTGTGACTCTAAAAAATACAAATGGTCATTATAATTGATGGAAAAAAGGGTTAAAATCTGGAAAGTTATTTGAGCAAAAATGGCAAAATTTACTTGGAATATATAGAGCATTAAGGCCTCACCTTGCAGACTCTGAACTCCGATATATTCCAATCTGGGAACTGGCTTTCATTCAGGATGGTTACTTGAATGTCTCCATAATACACAGGCTGAGTATCATATGGCCAATAATGGTCACACTTTTCACGACCCTGAAAGGGAACATAGATACACACAGTAAGAAAAACTTTTGGTTTTTAAATTACTGAAGCTACAATTTTAATTTTAAATGAACATGTAATTCAGTAGATTAGATTACTTACATGAACACTTCATCATGATCTAGATTTAAAATTATCCAAGTAATGTTTATGTAATCTGAGGTAAGTAATTATTAATGAACAGAAGTCTCATACTTGGAAATGTACCTTTTCAATACATCGTGTAAGCATTACTATGGCACGCGAGTTGCTTTCCCAACACATTCTCCAGAAGTCATCCCGTGTTGATGGCAAAGGACCTTGCGTCACTATAAATTCTCTTGGTGAATTATATCCCTGGAAATAAACATATTTTCAGTCAAGTGAGAAAAGATGTAATGAAAATTAAAGCACATTTTTCCAATGTTTTAAGTTGCACAATAATTAATATGCTGGGGCCAGGCTTTAAAATGGCCAGATGTAAGATAAAAGGTCTTTACTTGTGATATATACGAGTATCAACTCTCATCCTTAATACTGTAGAGCCACACGGACAAACCACACATGGACCGGGACAGAACATACCCGTACAACCAGGGAACTTTGTGTTTGGCCCACAACTCTACCAAGTAAACAACATCAGTTCTCTTCTATGTCGCAATGGAATACAGTATAATCAATGGAATAAAATAAATAAAAACTACAGTACTTTTAAACACTCCTCGTGCTGAATAAAATATCCCTCATAGTGCTGAATAAAATATCCCTCATAGTGCTGAATAAAGTACTCCTCATAGTGCTGAATAAAGTACCCCTCATAGTGCTGAATAAAGTACACCTGAATGCTGTACTGAAAATGCTGCTGAGTGAAAAATTTATCAGTCTAATATTATGATTAATTAATAAACAATAATATTGTAGTAATAAACAAAAGGAACATTAGAAACTAGATAATACAAATTGAGTAGAGTAATGTAAGGAAAAAAAAGTACAATTGAAAGATAGAGACAGCAGACAAGAAGTTCTAAGAATACAATAAATGTTTAAGAAATTATTAACATTTACACAGCTCTCCATGCTATATGCCGTACTTTACAGTACTGTATATGGTAATTAATGCTAGTTCATTCGTTAATAGTTTATTAAGCCAAGAGGTATTTAAGCACTGTTATAAGAATGAGCTTTAAAAACAAAAACAGACTTACTGGTACATAATTTGCATTGATATAATCAGTGCCTTCTTCATCGTCAGTGGGCTGTAGTTTGAAGCGAGAATGGTCATAAGGAAGAATATTGGTAAAGCGGTTTTTAGGTCGATTGACAGGCAAATCAGCAGCGTTACGCTGAAGGTCATGTCCAACATGTTTGAGTGCTTCATATTCTTCAGAAAAGTGATATTCTGAGTCAGCTGCCATAAACCTATAATGTGCTGCAAAGTCCTTCAGTTTCACAGGGCGGCTGTTGAAACAAAGCCATCATTAGTTTATCTTAATGGACATTAGCTTTTCCAAGGGGCTGCTGATAAGCATTACTTACTTTCATATTATCGATACTACATTATTACAAGTACAGTACTACAAACAAACCAACAATACCTTAAAAGCAATAATCAGCAATGTTTCAGGGAAAACCACTCTCTGTGCTCGCTAACAATGAGAAAAAATGTTGATCTTGAGGCATACTGCCATGCATAATGAGACTACTATCAACATTCATAGGAAAGGCAAGAAAACTTACCTGGAAATGTTGTAAATGCTATCTAACATTAGATGAGCAATAATAAGATGATTGTTTATGCAAAATATAATTTTTACTTATACATTCTTATTGAAATTTAGTTAGTATTAAGTGTTCTTACCTTGTTTCAATTAGAGAATCTGGAAGCGAGTGCATATCTCCATCCTTTCTGTTAGGGTCCATGGTCTTCTTAGGAAAGAGACAAACTCGTCGACGCCTCATGATGATGACCACCACAACCACTAACACCAGCACCAACACTGGCACAGCCACAGACAAACCCACATTTCGACTTTCAAATTCTGCAAGAAAGCCAATAATATACAGAACAGAATGTATTTTATAGCTATAGTATGACAATATTGTAGACACAAGCAGTTCTAAATGAAAAAAAAGACAGTACAGTCCACCCATGGCCTTATTTACAGATGATTCCCATGCACCTCACAGATACTCCATTTGTATAGAATATTGTTAATAAATTCATTGTAGAGTTGTCAAAACCCTAATAAAAATATATGTAGAATGTAATTACCTAAGTGTAGTTACAGGATGAGAGCTACGCTCGTGGTGTCCCGTCTTCCCAGCACTCTTTGTCATATAACAATGTGTATGTGTGAATGTGTACATCTGCATGTGCGTGTAATTACCCAAGTGTAGGTACATGATGGGGGCTATGCTTATGGTGTCCTAGCTTCCCTATAATCTGTCATATGACACTTTGAAACTGCTGATGGTTTTGGCATCCACTGTCTTCTCAAGAATATTATTCCAATTGTCTGCAACTCTATTTGCAAATGAGAACGCTTGGACAGCTTTTCAGTTGCTTTGCTTTCCAAGTTTAAGTCTGTGGCCCCTTGTTCAAGATATTACAAGTTTTAACATTTGCTCTTTATCAACTTTGTCAATTCCTATCACAATTTTGAATGTGGTCAACACATTAAAAAATGCACAGACAATGATGCATCTAAGGACCAACGTATCATGTTTAAAAGGAAAATAAAACCAGTAACTGGTTGAACATATGTAAATGACTTACCAGTAGTTATTGGGTGGCTGAAGTAGGTATCGGCAAATTTGTCCCTAGCTGTGTAGGCCCGAATTTTGACCCTATAAGTAGTTCCTGGCTTGAGTTCTCCATTACAGTATCCAATCCGCATCATACAGTCCTTCTCGGTGCCAATATCAAAATCTTCTACAGATGAGGTGTTGAAGGGATAGTATGGCTCTGTCACCTAAAACCACAACTTAATTATTTCCCAATAAAATATATGAAGGGAAAGAACAGAAAGCAAATTCCCCTGATAAAAATATCTGTCAGTGTACAGATTCAGTTATACATAGTGCAAATGTAGCATATAGAATTTTATTTTCATAAACTTTAAAAAATAAGACCGAGTCAATATGATAGCATGTTTCTAAAGAAAGCTATTCGAGCTTCCTAAGGGAAGATATAGTGTGTCACATAATCAGGATAATCCAATTGGGCAGAACAACATTTACGCAATAGCTCCACTGAAATATTTTCAACCATCCCTGCAATGGCAAGCATTGACATATTATGGAAAAGGTGTATGTAAAAGTAAGTCTTGCTAAGTTGATAGAAAAGAGGGATACATAAATTGATGCCAAATCCCAGCTGAAGCAGCTCCACTAAAGCAGATCTCATTGAATGAAGCAGTTATATTAGGCATAAGCCTCCTTTCCTCAAACAGTCAAAGAAAGGACATGACAAAAGTGACAGGAAAGAGAAGCCCAATAATGAAGAGCCAAGAAATGCACTGTAGTGAACACACTAAGCTACCTCATGTTGACAGAGAAAACACCCTAAAAGCCTGGAATAAAATCTTGGCTACCTGCTTTCCTATAGAAAAAGTGACAGAAAATGCCTAAAAACTTCATATGAAAAGACCAGCAGAGAAACTGGAATTGGTTGAATACTAACAGTAGTCAATCTTCTATAAGAGGAAAGTAAGAAAAGAGACTGGGTTTGGACATATGCCCTGCAAGCATAAGAACCAAGACTGCAATTGCTATAGGGAGGTCAACAAACACATGGCCCCACAAAGATCTCCAGATTCTACTGAAATCCTATGGAAACTCACAACGAATTGGCAGCCAGAATCTGACAAACCATAGGCACAGTGGTCATACAGAAGATTAATTCCACAGATTAATTCTGTGGACATTATTCTACAGAATTAATCTTGAGAATGAATCATACAAACCATTCTATTGTCTACACCCTCCTAGATGGCTGGCAATGGTCAACAGAACCTGTGTGACGCTGTGGAAATCAAACCCACGTGGAACTGATGTATAGTGTACAGTACTACAGTACTACACTCCAGGCATGGCAAAATGCCTGAAGATGATTTGGCATCATCTTGATAAACACAGTCACTGGGATGTGCAACAGAGTTGTATGAAGGAACCAATACCATCCCTTGCAAGACTTTCCCAAAACAGCCTTGCTTTGTGGTTACCTTGTGATGGTTTCGGAGCTTAGTGTCTCTGCAGCCCGGTCCTCAACCAGGCCTCCTTGTTGCTGGACTGGTCAACCAGGCTGTTGGATGTGGCTGCTCGCAACCTGATGTATGAATCACAGCCTGGTTGATCAGGTATCCTTTGGAGGTGCTTATCAAGTTCTCTCTTGAATACTATGAGGGGTTGGCCAGTTATGATGCTTATGTGTAGTGCAATAGCATTGAACAGTCTCGGGCCTTTGATGTTAATAGAGTTCTCTCTCAGAGTACCTGTTGCGCCTCTCCTTTTCAATGGGGAAATTCTGCACATCCTGCCATGCTTTCTGATCTCATGTGGTGTTATTTCTTTGTGCAGGTTTGGGACCAGCCCCTCTATTATTTTCCTCATGTAAATTATTATGTATCTCTCCCACATGCGCTCAAGAGAATACAGACTTAGGGATATTAGTCAGTCCCAATAGTTTATATGATTTACTAAGTGGATTCTAGCAGGTAAGGAACTCTGCACGCTCTCCAGGTCAGCAATTTCCCCAGCTTTGAAAGGGGCTGTCATTGTGCAACACATTTTCCACTCTAGAGAGCACTAGCATCTTGAAAAGTATCATCATTGGTATAGCATCTCTGGTGTGAAATGTTCTTGTTATCCAACCTCTCATTTTTCTTGCAGATGTGACATCTACTTTATTGTGTTCTTTAAAGGTAAGGTCTTCTGACATGAGTACACCCAAATCCTTTACATTGCTTTTTCGTTCTATGTTATGATTTGACCGCGTTTGGTATGTGGTTTCCATTTTTATATTTTCATTTTTTTCGTAACGTAGGAGCTGGAATTTATCGTCATTAAATACAGGCATTACACTGTAAATACACTGGTAGGCAGCCAGTGCCTTCCTACCTTCAGAAGGAGGACAGACAGCAGAACAAATAGTTGTACCATAGAGGCTCAGAAGGACTTTCAAGTCTTTATAAATGCACTTGTTAAATCATTCTGGGGATTTTTGGATTGCATATGCATCCAGCAACATTAGCACTTTCAATGACCCTGAAAGAATGTTTCAAAATGATAACTGTGAGACTGGTGTATGAATGTTGCCCTGACTGACTGCATGATCCTGATCATATGACATAGCAGGTATTATCTATAGAGCAGTCAAATGTAATATTTCAGAACTAACAGGATATTTAACTGACCTGGTATGGTGGCCAAACAGAATAGCTCTGTACATCTTGCCATACTGGCATTTCCAACCCTCTTGAGATTTTGGAATCATCCTCAGCTACAATAATACTATATTCAGTAACTTGTCCATTCTCATTGGAAAAGTAATTCTTACGATACCGGATGCGAATAGTGGAAGAAGTACGTGACACCTCAGTAGGAAAGACTTGATGACTGGGATCGGGTGGGGCTGCAAAATAAATGTGTTCTACTTATTAATGATCATTAAAAACTTGCAAAATAAATATTATTTATAAAACTGCATAAACAGTTTTCTAATGTATCAATTTGTATAGCTGATAAGACAGCACAAGGAATCCCAATACAACACTTGGGTTTGTTCTAGACTCACAATCAGAAATTCAAGGTTCGAATCCCGAGCGGGACAGAAATGGTTGAGTGTGTTTTCTATCACCTAATGCCTGTTCACCTAGCAGTAAATAGGTACCTAGGAGTTTGTCAGCTTCTTGTGGGGTGGGGGGGACATAATAATTTTACCTTGAGGGGGGGGGATGGGTACCCCTCAATATAAGCCTAACATGTATATACTGATATACGGTATATACACTGGGTGCCTGTCCCTAAATACAATGTATTATTATTATTATTAATGCATCCTCCATCTGACTGATCCTTACTCTTTAATTTTGTAAGATATTTATCTCTAAAGTATCCACATTTGTGGTATTATGAGGTAATACTTAGTATAGGATTAATGTTCAAATTTGTAATGTATGTACAACACTGTACTTACATTCACTAAGGAAAAAAAAGTACTGTTGGTAACAAAATATATTAAGTTATACTCTTATTAAATCAAAACTTGCCATTTTTGTATTATATAAATTTCAAGATAAATATTGTATATGTCTTTGTTGCATAAGTACTTACCCCAGATTGGCATAGTCTCCTCCAGGCTTTTAACACGCCCTGAGCCAATTACTGTTCTTGCTTCAATTTCAAATAAATAAGTTTGTCCAGGAAAAAGATTTGTAATGGTCCCTTCCAATTCATCAGGACTAAATTGTCGGACATTGGTAGATGGGGAACCCTAAAATGATAACAGCATGTAATTATTTTCTGATATGCTATGCAAGTGAACAGTTATTACTGACAAAATTAAATGATGGGCAAGTAATATTACAAAAAACAAGTACCAACACTTAATTAGAATTACAAAGTGTGAATTGTAGTGTGCAATGACTCTAATATCAGGGAATTTACATATTACAAATACAGTACTGTACTGCCAACTTCACCTTTATTCCATATTTGATGGTGAACCCTAAGATAATTCCATTCTGTTCATCTAGAGGCAATGACCAATTTAAAGTAATCTGGTTTGGTTTTATTAGAGCTGCGTTGAATAGTGCCACCTTGAAGTAATAAAAGATTTATTAGACAACTTTTAATGGTTATAGAATAAGTAGTATAAGAATGTCATTAATTTAGCAGTACAGGTACTTACACCAGAGATAAGAATCATCAACATATTACCGGTATTTCACAAAGTACCAAAACCTTACAATGAATACATAATTCAAATAGCATGTTAAGTTATGGTCCAACTAACCTTTCCAGGAGTGCTTTCTCTGGTGCTAAATGTGGCTGACACAGGTTTGGACTGCCTCATGATGATATGTTCTAAGCTGCCAGCACGTGTGAGTACAGTGAATGTGTAGTTACGGTGGGGACGAAGGCGTGAGATAGTAATGGAATCGTAGCTGGTACGGTTAGTGATCAGCTCATCCTCAGTCAAGTATTGAACCTGTAGAGGCAAGCAGAAGAAAAATTAATATGAGGACTCTTTATGTATGTATTATATATTATTTCAAAGAATAATATATTCTTGTCTAATTTACTTCACCTTTCATTAACGTATGGATATTCAAGTCCCATACCATTCCACCTAACACAAATTTCTCTCCACCATCTTAATAACATAAGTAGTTTTATGTTTACCTGTATTTCTGAATCATATTTTTCACCTCAAAATTATAGTCAAGTATTTTATACTCCCATATTGCCTTTCATACCCTAATTATCTATCACAACCTGCTTTTATAATACATTACTATATTACATTAGACTATGAAAACTACATGTCAGCATGGACCTATAACAGAACCTTCATGCAAAAAAATAACAGCAAGAATGCCAACCTCAAATGAATCATAATCTCCTTTTGGTTTTGTCCATGCAAGAGAAATTTCTGTGTCGGATATGGAAGTGACATTGATGTCTGTGACAGGTTCTGGATAGAGGCGATCCTGGCGTATGAGAGGCTGGCTTGTCACACCACCTGACACTGTCCAGGCTGTGATGTTGTACAACCGACCAGGCACAAGCTTTTCAAAAATAATCTGGAAATACATAACTTTATTAATTGTACTGCACGAAATATAAGTATATTTAATGTATACATACCATGGCTGCTTTTTCTTGATCAATCAAGCATAATCTACATTTTGAGTCCACTGTGATCAATAAAGACAATCAATTATGCCATTTTTCTTTTCTTTTTTAATATGACCTCTCTGAGATTCATCATGCATCCTCTTTATGTAATTTCATTAATTCTTTCAATCCTAAACTCATCTTTAGCACATATCTATGACCAGTCTTTCACACACTTCCCTTTACTTTATTCACATAGAGTACTGCTAAATCTATATTAATTTATTTTCACACATGTGACTCCCATCCTGAGACAGAATACTGTACATTCCTTCTGCAGATTTAATTGACAAAATTGATACAAAGAATTCCTGAGACCTGGAACTTCAAAAACAAGAGGTCATAGATTTAAGCTAAGTAAACAATGCTGCTAAAGAAATACAAGAAAATTTCCTGTTACAGAGTGGTAGAGGGTTGGAACAAGTTAAGTGAGAAGGTGGTGGAAGCCAAAACTGTCAGTAGTTTCAAAGCGTTATATGACAAAGAGTGCTGGGAAGACGGGACACCACGAGCGTAGCTCTCAGCCTGTAACTACACTTAGGTAATTACATTTAGGTAATTACACATACAGTATATATACACAAATTAAAAAATACACTATATCCATATAAAGGAAAAGAACAGTTTTGAACCAAGACGTGTTACCTTCCTGTCATCATCAGTAGCTAGTTTTTCCTTAACAGGTATAGCTGGATCAGACAGCATGAATCTGTATGTGTCAAAAGTGGCCACAGCTGTAGGCGTTGGTGTGTAGCGCAGCGTGAAGGATTGGGTGTCAAGTTGATTGACAATAGTTATATCCGATGTGATTACTGGTCCTGCAAATTATATTCAAATACATTTCTGCTTTATATTTATATTGTTTGTTAAAATAAACTATAAGCAATGCAATACATAAAAAATGTATACAAATTTTTTATTTTCTAAAATATTTATAGACTTAGAATATTGATTTTGATATAAAAATGTTACAAATAAATGTTTTAGAAGATGAGCACAGACAACATTGGATAGAAAATGTCTGGTGTGCAAGGCATTACTATACAGTGCTTGTATGTTTTATTTTGGAAGTACCAGACAACATCAGACAACATCAGACAGCAGAGCTCAGCACAATAGATTGGAACACAAGTGTTAATAATTTGAAAATTCTGTACACTAACTTGTTCTACTGGAGAGAGAAACATTTTCACTGTTGACCCCATGAGCAGTGGTATAAATCTGGAAGCTGTAGAGTTCTCCAGGCATCAGCTCGCCAATCAATACCGTCAGTTTGCGATTTATGCCTTCTGTTGCTTGATCACCGGGTATTTCTTTGGATTTCTATTGGTAGATAAGAAACAAAACATCGACTACAGTATTTTCAAAACTATAAGCATTTGAAAGTTTATATCTGGAGCAGGTTGAGATGGGTGTTCATGTCAGATTATCTTTTATGGTAAATAAAGTAGAACAGATATCAACAGTTAAACCAAACTTCAAGTGCCATTGTCACTACTAGTGTTAACAGTTTATGTAGTTTATCCACTATAAAAAAAGATTTTATTGCCACTTGATGCACTTGTGTTACTAACTGCTGTATACTTAATCAATGAGTACTAGCAATAATGGTGGTGTGGTAGTATTACTGCCTAGTACCACAACTATCACTAACTGCACCAATATAGTAGAGCAAGTCAAGAAGTACTAGTTCAACTCTAATAGCAGCACAAAGGTAATACCTAGCACTTCCCACCACTGGTCACAAAATTCCTTCCTTACACAATTACAACATTTGATACTTGAGATTTACTGTCTCACAAATTTAATTTTGATTTTGATTTGTTATCATAATGTACACAAAATTGGATCTGAACATACAGTTCATTAAAGCAAGATTCAACTATACTACAGATTTACTTTCTTAATTTTATCCTTTGCACATTTTATCTACTTTTCCTCCTTTTTGAGATCTATAAATAATGAATAAAGTACTAATTAGCAACACAAAATCTAACAATTTTAAAGAATGTAATAATACACCACAATTGTACCTTTCTTTCTGGTGTACGTTCATTCCACCACACAATTGTGTACATGTCGATCCTGCCCTCTGGTCTTGGCCACTCAAAGGTGATATTCTGTGAGTCAAGATGGTGTTCAATACCCCTCACAGGATTAGGAGCTGCAAAACAAAATGTTCGTAAATACCTTGCTAGAACTGAATCTTATAACCAATCAATTCCTACTTACTGTATGTATAATATTAATATTTATTAACACTTTCGCGCTCTCGGCGCTCAAAAAAAAACAATACCCCAGATGCTTTCGGCACTTTGCGCGCCTACGCGGTAAGACCGAAAAAGTGTACACTCTTTTGACTGTCCTGACAATAATTGAAGGCGCACGTATTTAAATTTGGTATCACTGTGTTCGCAATGAAATTGTCTATAAGAGCATACCTATAAAATGCCGCCCAAGCATAAGGAGTATCAACACCAAATAAAAAACTATGCAGATCACTCGCCGAGAGCGCCAAACAGCAACAAAATGTTTCCACTCTCTTAATGGTTGCGAAGCCTACCGTTGTCCTACATCGCTAATTTTGGTATCATTGGAATCGCAATAAAATTCTCTACACGGACATATGCATATGAATGTTTAATATAGGTAATTACCCACCCGCAAGAGTGTGTGAAGTGGAGAGTAGTTAGCCGCGAGCGCACTGGCGAAAACACGGGGAAAATCATGCTTGGAAAGTTTATACGTTTCCTGACCCTACTTTTCTATGTACAGTGGTACCTCGGAATGCGATTGTCCCTGTATGCGAGGTTTTCGGAAGGCGAGGTGTATTTACTCCAAAAATTTGTCTCGGAAGGCGATGGTTACTTCGGGAGGCGAGTTTGGACGCGAGTTTGTTGATACGCGTACAGCCGACCTAGCGCGCGGTGGTTCGGCGATCGTCGCCCCTCCGCCCCGCCGCCCCTCAGTTTATTATTGTCTCGCGCTCAGTGACTACCCCCACATCAATTCTTCTCGCGGATTTTCAGTGTTTTGTTGGATTTTTGGTGATTTGTCTATACAATTTGTTATTATATATCTCACCATGGGTCCCAAGAAAGCCAGTGGTAAGGATAAAGGCCAGAAAGCTCATGTGAGGATGACAATAGAGGAGAAACAAGAGATCATTCGGAAGCATGAGAACGGTACACGTGTTGTTGAACTTTGTAGGCAGTACAACAAAGCCACATCAACAATATGCACTATACTTAAGAAGAAAAATAAGATTATGGGTGCTAAAGTGGCAAAAGGAGTAAGAACATTAACGGCACAAAGACCACAAATACTTGAAGAAGTGGAAAAGTTGTTATTAATTTGGATACACGACAAGGAGTTGAGGGGTGATAGTGTTTCAGAGGCCATTATTTGTGAGAAAGCCAGGGTGTTGCACGAAGACCTTCTAAAGAATACCCCTGCAACGAGTGATGCAGATAAGAAAGAGTTTAAGGCAAGCAGGGGCTGGTTTGAAAAATTTAGAAAGAGAAGTGGTATCCATAGTGTTACAAGGCATGGGGTTATGTGATGTGATTATGGAAGGAGACTCCCCTTCCAAACAGTAACTCCTCTCCTCCTCCCCCCCTCCTCACCATCTTCCATACGCCTACAGCACTCGACAGCAAGGTAAGTAATAACTGGAACACAGTTTTGTAGGTTTATTTAGATGAATTAGGTAAATTAGGTATAAAAATTTAGTTTGATGTGGGGTTTTTGGGGTAGTCAGGAACGGATTAATTCATTTCCCTTTATTTCTTATGGGGAAATTAACTTCGGAATGCGAGTTTTCGGAAGGCGAGGCGTCTCCAGGAACGGATTAAACTCTTATTCTGAGGTATGCCTGTACGTATTTCTTTTTTATACCAATGTGTTCGCAATAAAATTTTCTATAAGATGAACTGTATAACATTTGTACAAAGCATGTGTAAGAGAAGCGCCAAATATAGAACCACGTCGCTCAGTATGCGTTCGCGGCAGAAACGAACGCATTGTTTTCGTTCGTTTGATGTTTGTCATGTTTATACTTGTTGAAACATTTTATAATTTGTATGACAGTGATCGCAGTAAAATTCCCTACACAGACATATACATAACACATACAAATATTTCCCACGTGTTGGATATATCAACGGCTAAAGGGAACCCACTGCCACACGCTCGCCACACCCCCAAACATACTTTGTGTATTTTTTTTTTACTCATAGAAGTTTATGTGATATAATATTCATTCTGATACCAAAAAATTCGCAAATAAATTCTCTACAAAACAAAAGTATCCCCATCCATTTCGGTTAAAAAATGGAATTTATAGAAATATTTTTTCGATGGACGAGAAAAGTAGGCTGTTATGCGGAATCGTAAGAAAAACGGCGACGAGTTATCTCTAATCTAAAGCGCGAAAGTGTTAATATTAACACACACACACACACATAAAGTACAAAGGTTTGTGTCAGTAAAAATTTTGGTGATTAATTGGTACAATTTTGCCAAGCCCATAATACGCACTTTCATGAAAATGTTAAAGCTAACACAAAATTTGCAGTGAATTAAAATTTACAAGGTGAACAGAGAATCTTAAACAAAGACACAAAACTAGTTACCGAGGTACAAAACGTGAAGTTTAAATAACTTGAGTTAACATAATTACTGTAAACATTATTAATAGGGTAAAGTGGTGATAATGAGAAATTATATGGATGGAGTTATATTTCTAGATAGTAAAAAACTATGCGAGTCACTCTATTAAGAGCTCCTGTATTGTCATTTCATGCTGCACAAGACTTGTAGATGCACCTAAATCTTGTATGTATGCTGTCAATAATAGTATGCTGTCAAAATAATGTGCCTGATAGAACTCTACTCTAGTCACAACATTTTTTCACATTTAGATTCATACAATTTATATTCTCAGATTAAAAAAAAATTGTTCAGTGTAATGAAATGTGTCTTTTTTCCTGTTAGATTCCTGCCAGGAATAGATATCCTGCCTGAAGATTGCTGAAAGGGTTTCTCAATACTGGGTCACATCAGCTGCAGGAGTTCTCTTTGAACTACTAGGACCACAGCCAGAACCTGGCTCCCCCCTCATAGAAGTGCAGAGGTGGTGGAGGCTAAAACCTCTCAGTACAGTAGTTTCAAAGCATCATACAACAAAGTGTACTAGAAAGATGGGACATTGGCTCTCATCCTGTAACTACATTTAGGTAATTACACTTAGGTAATTACCTGATCCTTGTGATCTGTACTCAAGCATGCCATGTCTTGTACCTGTTCCTTGTGATTCCTGCAATTGTCTTGACTATCTACCTACTTTATATTTTCAGAAGTCACGTTAGAATGTGAAGATAAGCATACTTGAATATTTCAATACTTACGAACAGTTTGTTCAACTTCTTGGGGTGTAAAACTTTCTACATGATGTGAGACAGATCGAACCTGGATTACGTAACGTTCACCAGGTTGTAAGTTGTCAACAATAGCTAGAGTTCTGTTAATGGCTGGCAGATCGGTCCAAGCTGATATCTCAACAGTTCGATATCTGAGGATTATGATGAAATAAAAAATAAAACATTATTTTAAATGTAGTGTAAGTACAGTACTGTAGTGTATTTTATATCTGATCTTTTGTTTACAAGGTAAAAGAATTATCAGGAGAAAGGACTAAGCCATTAAGACTATATAGCACTTGGATGGGATGAGGATAAGGATGTGAGATTAGACAGAGGGAAGGAATGTTTCCCAGTCACTTATACTGGATGGTAGAACAACAGTCTTGCTTCTAACAGGTCAGCGTTCAATTGCTGACCTTCCAAGTGATTAGGCACCATTCCTTCCCTCTCTCTCCTGATAACTTCCTTACCTTGTAAACAAAAATCAGATATTTAAAAACTAAATATTGTAAGTGGTCGCTTATCCAAATTCCACTAAACCAGATATTTGGGTTATCTGACCATATATTTTTCTGGCAAAACTTCACCATATCTTGATAGCAATCCTGATAACCAGAGGATTGGCCAGACAGTGTAGACTGGTATAGCTTCTAAATCAAGTTCAGATAACTTTCTGCCAAATTTCACTGTATCCGGATATAAAATTTAATATTACGTTTGCTAATCAACGAACTGTGCAATTTGCATCGAGTCAATGTCAGAGAAATCAAAGTATAAATTTAATGAGGGCTACTTTAATTTATATACTGAATTTACAGTGCTTTAATTATTACATTAATAGTTCCTGTAAAATAGAGTTTTTTAAAGATCAATAAAACTCACCTGACAATGTAATGTGTAAAGAGTGATTCTATAGGTGCACGCCATGCCAAGCTCACGGTGGTATTTGTGGTGTCTATTATTGTCAGGTTACGTACAGAATTTGGATCTGAAATGTTATACAGTACTCATTAGATGTATTACTATATTATATTAAACAATAATAACAGTACTGGGTATAATGCATATACAGTACAGTATTGTAATTACAGATGCATCTGTCTGGAAATTAATTTGAGAAAACTTGAGAAACAAAGTAATAAAAGTATGTTTGGTACTGTTCTAATGATAGTCCAAATTTAGACATACAGTATTCATTACCCTACAATAATACTGTACTATAATTGATAAAACTGCAGTTGATGATGTTAACTTACACACTGCTTGGAAGTATACGTGAGGCTCACTCCAAAGACCATGTGATATTGCATACACCTTAATTTCATAACCAGCACCAGGAAATAAGTCCTCCAAAAGCACATGAGCATCAACTGTTTGACGAGTTACTGATTCAGCTGCAAAGTAAAAATATATAATAATTAAAATTTATAATTATTTTAATAAACAAACAACAAAATGCCATGCATCTACTGTACTAACTCTATACCTTGTCAAAAGATATTCCGAGTTTACAGGAAAAGCACTTTTATGAGCAAGTCTCTTTTCTGTAAGCGAGGGCTTGAAAGGTCTTTGAGTTTATGTGAAATTTTCTTTCTAGGGGTCACTCAAGCTGAGTGCTATTGTTTAGTGCTCCTTAATGCAGTGGCATCATTACCCAGCAGGGAGCATCTGGAAAGTTGGCAGCAGTGGTGCTGCTACCAGAATGTCGGCCCCCATGACTCTATGGTATCCTTCTTACCAACACTATGGAAACTTACCTCCATGATCAGTCAAGTGAGAAATCTCAAATAATCTCGAGATCAACATTTTTCCTGATAATAAAGGTTAGCACAGTTTTATTATTTTACATAGAACTCACAAACAACGAAAATTGGATCAAAAGACACAGCTGAGCAATGACAAGCTAGGCCTAAAAATATTGTTGAACAATGACAAATTAGATCAAGATTAACAATGACAAGCTGATATAACTAATACTTTTCCAGCAAAATGACGATGATAATAATATATTTTGTTCTATTTGTATCTATAGCTGCCTTGTATGGGCCAATAGGCCTTCTGCAGTTACCTTTATTCTTATGTTTTTATGTTCTTAAATAATATTCTTCTCTTCTTATATACAACATTATGACTTGTACCAGAGTTTCAAAATCTTTATTCACTATCTTACAAAACTGCCATCTAGACTAGCAGAGCTCAACCACCATACAATACAGTACAATAAATGTTGTAAATTTTGCTTTCAATGTATCTAGTCTTCCATGTTAACTTGACAGAAGTTAAAATAAAATAAAGTATCTCAGGTTAATTTTTTTATTTTTTGTAAATTCAACCATATTGCATTTAACAATAAAATCTGCAAATATATCATCAGCCTAAACAAAAAAATCATTCTCTGCTTACCTGTATCATTCCGAACATACACAACAGCATATTTTTCCTGCCTGGAGGTCACATCACTTTTCCACGAGATGTTGAGTCCACGAGGTATTGGTTGTAATTCTTCAATAATGGGAGATGCTGGTTCTGTTTGTGTGCAGATTAAACAATAATTTTATACATAATTTCAAATATCACAGTAATATCAATTTATATTAAACACAGAGTAAAGTGTACTGTATCTTATATTTTACTATGAAATTCAAATTAATGCCCCAAATCATCTATGAGAAACTTACTAGTGATAATATATATTTGCGAGGCAGGATCACTCTCGATGGCATTTGAGAGAGCAGCAACAGAGATGGAATAATTTCTGCCTGGATAGAGTTCCTCTACAGTGTGTGCTTCTGTCACTATCCTGGTGCGGGAATCACCATTGTATGTTTCCACCTCTTGATACACTACCTGTTCATAATGCATGTATACAAAATTAGTAACTCAACACAGCTATAAAAATCCTACGTATTTTCCAACTTTTTAAAATATTGTATTTATCATAACATGGCCACGAGAAAAACATTTCTGCAATCAGACCAGTATCTAGAACAGAAAAAAAAAACATTGCACCATAATTTACTTTGGTATTTTTCTACAACCCACTTTGTGGTGAGATGAACTTTCTCTCACTGAGGACTTTTTTTTATAAAATTATTATACTCTATCCATTCTCTTTTACTATCTCCACATTTCTCCCATTCTTTACATTTCCTTATTTTTTATATTTTTACCCTCCTTTTATGATAACTTTGTAGAAACTAAAATTCTTTTCAGCCTATTTATAGCCCTGACACCTTTCTCATAGCAGAATCCCACTATGGGTAGCCACATCAGAAATTTCTTCACATGGTTCTATCATCACATAATCTTTCACTAACAGTAGAGTCGGGTTCATTCTCGACTCACAATTGGGAATTCCAATTGTGACCCACCTTGTAGCGGTCCTGGGTGGAGGCTGCATCTGGGGCCCATGACAACTTCACCTCTCGTGTGTCTTCACCCTCTATGGCTGCCAGCTCCAGAACACCCAGTGGCCCTAGGGAAATACTCCATTGTCAAATATGAAGTGCAAAGTCGTTTTAAATTTAACTGGCTTCCAATAAATATACTCTACATGCTCACTTATATCTGTGTATGTGTGGATCAAGCTCCAGGTCCTTTGCCCTCAGTGCATGTGTGTTATTACCTATTTGATGATTACCTATTTATGTAGTGGCAGTTGAGTTATATGTATCTTGAGATCCATCTGCTTCATTCAGTTTACTGAATAAAAATATTTTTAAAATTTCCATTATGAATATAGGATCACAAAATTTATTTGCTCTCAAAATAAATAGCAATAATATAACAATATTAATCTATATATATGTCAATTAATACAGTACCATTACTATTATTATTATTGTTATTATTATTTATATGAATACTCTTGTAGCTCATATCAGACTCCATAAGCCTCACTGGAACATCAGGGACACAATACATCATGGTGGTAAGCAGACACAAAACAGCTAAACAATGAAAACTTTGGCAGTAATGTAATGCTTCCAATACTCCACACTTTACCCTGGAAAGGGTAAAGTGTGGAGCACTTTATGGAAGTCTTAAGCTTCATGTGTCACTCGAAGAAAAATATTGAGACAGGTAGAAAGAGAGAGCGGCAGCTTGAAAAGGGACAAGCAGAAAGATCCAGGAGCTATTCGACAGAGAAGGAATGGGAAAGTATAAATAGAAAAAATAGGCACGAGGAATGAAGTAGAAGGCCGGAATGAAGTAGAAAGCCGGTATAAATAAAATAGAGGTAGGAGACATTAAGAGAGGATGAGGTTCTATGATTACTAACTTGTGGTAACATTGCCAGTGGTGGGCCAGGAAGCGACATTTCCAGACACCGTCTTGATGAGGACAGTGTAGGTTCGTCCAGGTTCGAGGTTGGTATCGAAGGTAGCCTCCCTCGGCTCCTCGGCATTGATAATGAGAGGAGACTGCTTCTTCACCCCCAGACTCAGCTGGTATCTGTCAAACTCCCTGCAACACACCATAACATATTCCTTATTCTACTGATCATTACACTTTATTACACTGATAAACTAACTAATGAACTACCTGTAGCTAGCATAAACTTCCTGCAACTACACCCATGAACTGTGACCACACCCATTAACTACTTGTGACTACATCCATGAACTACCTGTAACTACACCCATAAACTACCTGTAACTACACCCATAAACTACATGTAACTACATCCATAAACTACATGTAACTACACCCATAAACTACCTGTAACTACACTCATAAACTCATATTATTACACCCATAGTTTATGGGTGTAACTATACCCATAAACTACCTGTAACTACACCCATAAACTACCTGTAACTACACCCATAAACTACCTGTAACTACACCCATAAACTACCTGTAACTACACCTATAAACTACCTGTAACTACACCCATAAACTACCTGTAACTACACCCATAAACTACCTGTAACTACACCCATAAACTACCTGTAACTACACCCATAAACTACCTGTAACTACACCCATAAACTACCTGTAACTACATCCATAAACTACCTGTAACTACACCCATAAACTACCAATAACTACACCCATAACTACTCTACCTTGTGAAAGTTAACATATACCTGATTTAACTATTTATTTAAATAAATAAATGCATAGAAAAATGTTACAACTTGTTCATGTACAAATATCTTTTATGCAAATGTTAAATAGTTTAACTAGGTCCACTGGCCCTAGTTGGATTAACAAATACTAATAAATAACATACAGTATATAAAACATTATTAACAGTTCAAATTATATGAAAATCCTAGTTAAAAACTTTATTTCTGCTTTGCCATAACTAAAAGAGTTTACAAAAAAAAATGACTGGCCAGTAAATATAAAATATAATGAAGAACAAGAAAAGCAAAATCAAAACTTAATAATAACAATCACTGCTAAGTATCGCAGATATTTCCAGAATGTTACAAAAACCTATTTCCTGAGGCGGTATAGCAGCTGTGCGCTACAGACATCTAATTTGCGGTAGACTACAGTTTAGTCTACATGTCCGCGGGGAGAGAGCGGGGCGGCGGACGGTGGAGCAACTCACACACATATTTCCCCACCGTCACACAACACAACAAATTGACCTATACTTCTTAGATCCTCTAGAGAAACATGTAAGAAACATGAAACAGCCAAGGCTGGTGACCCGACCCTCCTTCACCCTAAATGTTCCTTGACTTAAACACTTCCTCCCACTGATCACCATTGGCTTCATTCATTGATAAAGATTAAGCCACTGAAGAGATGGCACGGGCATAAATAGCCCGTAATCCATTGGCTTAGTTAGCTCAGGTAGTTTGGGTAAAGCCCTTAAGATTAGACAGTGGTTAAGTCTTGGGAAGGGCGGGTGTGCGACACCACCACAGCCAACACCACCATGTTGTTAGAGAAGACAATGTGGACTATTATATAAATGTTCTCGAGTGAAAGATGTGGTTGGGTAGAGATAATTGATGTTCCAGTTTGTGCCTCGAGCAACTCACGGTAATTGGAAATAAACGGGTTGCAAGCTTTATTCTCCTCAAGCTGCAGGGTTGATATGTTGGTCTCGTGAATCATGCTCGCAGTCTCCATTCCCGCATTACACATATATATTTATATGTTGTTTGATGGCAAAGTGAAGTTCTAGCCGCACTCTGCCACCGTTGTTATCACAGCCATCAAGAACATTATGGAGGCTCACCTGGAGGGTGTGCACGCGCGCACACAGGCTACACGCCCTCATATATATTTCACAATGTTTGCTTGGTTTATTGCAGGTTTAATTATATTTCCCTACTAAACGGGAACTGTAGATACTTTTTACAAATGGACTAATCCATTACTGATTAATATCTGATGCCTTTATTTGTATTTCCTAGTATTAGAACCGTACTATTGTCTATCCTAGGTTGCTTCCCTCAATGTTTTGTCCAGAAGAATAAGGCTGTATAGCTTTCTCAAGCCTTTACTTAGTGGTACATTTGCCAGTATAACTGTTAACTGCTGTAAGTTGTTCATTGATGTATATGGTGAGGAAGAACGGTCTGTGAGCACAGCGCCGGGTGCGATATTCCCACCGTATATTATAATACATTAATGATGAGAAGACAACACCAACACGACACAAATGGATGGATATATATATATATATATATATATATATATATATATATATATATATATATATATATATATATATATATATTAAAAGTGTGATAGGTAGGTAGCCCGCCCAAGTGTGGCGGGCGAAGGTAATATGGTCGCAGGTGGACGCGGGCTCCGCCATTATTGTTGTGACGGTCAGTCGGGTCAGCCGGGTCGAGCTCCGGAACAGGTTGGTACAATGTCATGTCTAGCTTAATGTGTCTCTGGCCTAACTTTAGGCATACGCTGTTGCTTATCGTTATACACGGTGCTTAAAACTGGAATTGTTTATTGTTAAGACTACTTACTTGTTGTTAAACTTTTGTTTATTGTTATATACTTTGTATATGTTATTGTCATATATTATTGTTATTGTTATATATATATATATATATATATATATATATATATATATATATATATATATATATATATATATATATATATATATATATATATATATTATATGTATATATAATATACAGGCATACACAATTATAGATGAAGGAAGCCTGCCATCTCAAGATAGCCATAAGCTGTGGTACCTGTAAGGTGTGGCTTCTTGTGTACTTGTAAATGTCTTCACAAGAGTGATTACATTCGCTACACAGCACCAACACTTGACAGCACCAGACAAAACAGTGGCCAGAGGTGTGTTGTATTAAGCATTAACCCTCGGCTCTTCATCAACGACCGGTGTTTAACCTGTAGACTATCTCTCCCACACCAGCACTTGTTGGCGCGCTTTCTGCCTTGGCCGCTGAGCACACTTTCACTACTCCCTCTCACCGCTATCTCCCCCCCATTGCTCCCCACCGTCCACCCGTCTCCTGGTCCTTCCGTCCACCCCCGACCAGGGACCCCCTCCCACTACCTCTCTCCAATACCTGCAGATTCCTCTATTATCATTACCGTCAGCACTCGTGTGCACGCTCTCTCACACGCGCGCACTCTTGCACTCACACACACTCAAACTTACACTAACAAATACATACATTGCCTAAGGGTAGTTACAGGTTGTTACCTGTTACAGTGTCGTCTTAGGACAATAAGCAATGACCTAAGTGTAGTTACGGGATGAGAGCTATGCTCGTGGTGTCCCGTCTTCCAAGCACTCTTTGTCGTATAACGCTTTGAAACTACTAACGGTTTTGGCCTCCACCACCACATCACTTAGCTTGTTCCAACAGTCACCACTCTGCACAAGAAAAACGTGAAATGTAAATTATTTACGTATTATTTATGTGTACTCACCTATTTGTGCTTGCGGAGGTTGAGCTCTGGCTCTTTGGTCCCGCCTCTCAACTGTCAATCAACTGGTGTACAGGTTCCTGAGCCTATTGGGCTCTATCATATCTACACTTGAAACTGTGCATGGAGTCAGCCTCCACCACATCACTGCCTAATGCATTCCACCTGTTAACTACTCTGACACTGAAAAAGTTCTTAATGATATCTCCATGGATCATTTGCGTACTCAATTTCCACCAGTGTTCCCTAGTGTGTGTGTGTGCCCCCCCCCCCCCTTGTGTTAAATAAACTATTTATCTACCCTATAAATTCTTGTATGTAGAAGAGAATCCTGTATGCAGTGAACACGTCTCCCTTAACTCTTCTGTCTTCCAGCTACGTGAGGTTTAGTTCCCGTAATCTCTCCTCGTAGGTCATACCCCTCAGCACGGGTACTAGTCTGGTGGTAGTGTGTGTATATACTGATAGTATGTGAATATAGTGAGAGCGTGTCAAGGAGAATGTGTTGTGGTGTGCGTGTGTTAAGACAGGCTGCTCACTCTGGCCTTCCCCTGGTAGTGGTCACTGTAGAGTAGAGGGCTCCATCACTGCTGGCTGTGACGGTACATGACTACCATACACTACGCCCACACACCGGTGCTGCCACCAGTCCCACCCCGCCAAGGTCACAACCTCAACCGTACCTGCACCAGCCCTGCGCCCGCCCTGCGCCCGCCCTGCGCTAGCCCTGCTCCCGCCCTGCGCTAGCCCTGCTCCCGCCCAGCCCCCGCCCTGCGCCCGCCCTGCGCCCGCCCTGCGCCCGCCCTGCCCCAGCCTTACCTAGCAGTCCTTGCCGCAGACCCACAAGTACTCCTGCCCTGTGCCAAAATCCTGGAAGCCACCTCCAGCCTCACCTTTAAGATCTTATTCGACAAAGAATTCGAAAGTTAGAAAAGTTAAATTATAAGAGTGTAGAAGGTGGGTAGTAGACGGGACATAGTGCTACACCTGACTTTGTGGTAGTCAGTGTTAGGTAAGCAGCGTTAAGCAAGCACCCGCACACTCGAGGACACTCTTCTTACATTCCTTTCTGTCGTCTATGTCTTAAGTTTCCTTTTGTACCTTTTGAAAAAGTTTTATTTTGAGCCTTAAAAGTTTTGGGTTTTGTGGATGAGCTGTGTACCGGTGTACGTGTACCAGAAGCGGTACAGCAGTTTTTTATTATTATTATTATTATTATTTTCTACCACAGACGTGGCCACACATTTACAATGCTAACCAGCATATATACATTTTCTTCTGTCCTCCATGGACAGGGTTAGAGAAGTGTTAAACATATAGTTCAAGGGTTTATTGAACACTCAACCACAGAAGGTGATTCGGTGCTTTTAAAATGCTAAGCTAACCGGTACAGCAGTGTTGGGGATGATTTCTTACTTTAGAGTCCTCAAGCACAGCTGTTGTTGTTATAGATTCAGCTACTCGGAACAAGTTCCAAGTAGCACGGGCTATGGTGAGCCCGTAACTTACCTGGTGCTCAAGCACAGCTATGTACCGTTGTATATGGTGTAACCTCTACACCTCAAGGT